CCAGCGGAGACGGATGGTGAGTAGGGGTTTTGATTCCTGCCTTTGGCATCTACAATATGCTTGAAAAGGCAAATAAAGCCATTTGGCAGGAGCTGATTTCTTGTCAGTTCAAAAATATACAGAACGTATGTGGCACGCCTTCTGGTTTTATGCTTCATCCAAAGCCTCTTACAGTTACATGGATGCACATCTCTGCACGGGATGCAATATAGAATGGTGCAACCAGCGGCCGGAAAGCCTTTATTACTAACGCCACACTCAACCATTTTTTGCACACAGGACCATGTCATTAGCTTTTCACCCTGGCAGGCAATAAGAAACTCTAGGCTGCTAAGCTGCAGTGTAACATGGAAGCAGGCAAACGGGCAGTGGTGTGGCTGTAACAAGACCTGTAGCCAGCACCATTGCCAGGGCTAGCTCAGGCAGGGTGAGAAATAGTGCCCATCCCCTACATGCCCTGCTCTGCCATCTGTCACTGGGCAGGAACAGTGCCGAGGGAGGAGTCTGAGTCACTCGACTTGTTGTCACCTGGTTGGACCACACCAAGGCCTGCAGCCTCTCTGTGCACCATTCAGACAGCAGCTCAGTCTTCTGAGAATTCACAAAGCTGCTGAGCAGATTTAAACTTCTTGTTTAAACATAATTCTTATCTATTTACTTTGCAGGAACATTTTTTTTTATTTACTCCATGAAATGAAAATTAAAAAACAGTGTTGTGGTGTGTCTTGGAGGTGTAACACTAACAAAACAAGTAGCTGATTAAAATAGTAATGAAAGCAGTTAGTAGTGTAGGATGATATCACACAGTATGCATCTGATTAAATGTTCACTGAGTCAACACTTGACTCTGGTCAAAAGCTGTCACCTTTCATTTTTTGTTGCATCACTTCCTGGGTGATGCTGTAGCCGTGTGTGTGTGTGTGTGTGTGTGTGTGTGTGTGTGTGTGTGTGTGTGTTCATTTAAGCTGTAAGAGTTTGTTGCCCTCAGACATCCATACTCACGTACAACACACAAAAATATAACGGTCAAAGTTCAACTGATCCACAGCTATAAAGATAAAAGGTGTTGATTCATTTTGAAATGGTCATGGCTTTACTGAAGTCTGTGTGTGTGTGTGTGTGCGCGTGCGTGTGTGTGTGCGCGTGTGCGTGCGTGTGCAGTCTCCTTTGATCATGAAGTTGAATGATGTTATCAGCTAACAAGAGGAGCAAACCAACAACTTCCTGGTTTTCAAAACAACAACAAAACAAATTTAACTGAGGAAAAAGTGAACAGAAATCACGATGACTCCTAAATGCTGCTGCTGATTACTCACTTCAGTGCTTTCTGTTACCAGTAACCCTCAACATGACACTCTTGCTACATTGACTTGCCATTTCCCTTGTTAGCTGTTCGGAGGGGGACACTTAAAGAGAGGTCTACGTTTGACACAGTTGGGGATCACAATAAAAGGCAGGAAGTAAAGAGGTCCAGAGGAAAGTGTGCCAATGTTGCCGGAGCAGCGATGATATAGTCTTTGTCGTCTGCGGTGAGGAGAAGAAAGAGAGGGAGCTGGGAGCCACCGTGTGTCTTTGAATGAGGTCAGGGCATCATGGGGAATAATGCATTTCCCTTCTCTTGCACCAGGCGCTCCTTCCATTACGGCTGGAGAAGAGACACTGTGTCCACACTCTGATTACCACTGATCCATGCTGATGACTCTGTTGGCGGATTATCTCAGTTAGTATCAGCCATCTGTTACTGTGTGTAGTGTGTGTGCGCATCAGTGTGTGTGTATTGATGGTTAAGGAGAAAAGGGACAGGATTGAGACACACATGAGCTTGTCTAGTTTGAGGCTGTGACACACACACACACACACACACACACACACACACACACACACACACACACACACACACACACACACACACACACACACACACACACACACTTCCATCGGCCATTGGAAGTCTGGTGAAACTGCTGCATATGTAATCATGCACCGGTACGTGCACGCTGAGGCCTCATCCCAAGCAGCACTACCTCTGCTAAATGCACAGGCACTATCTCTCCTTTATGCTATTGTGCCCTCCTTTTAGATGATGCTGACAAGTGAAGGCTCCTATATGAAGGCCACATGCAATCATAAAACCGCAGATCTGTTTATAGCTACACTATCTCCTGAAGGGCCGTTGCATCAAGCCACCATTAGGTGTGTGCATTGACAGCTGGGTGCTGTGTTGTATTTGTGGACGTGACTGTGAATCCAGCTCTGGAACACATCTTATAAATCATAGTTCAGCCATTAGCATAAATTCTCCTTCTCCTTGCATCTGTGAGACCTGCTGTTTCTGGTTGCAGCGCTCTGTGTTGATTGGTCGGTGTTCAAGTCAGATTGATTTAGCCGTTCACGGAGATTATAATGCTTGCCTTTTACTGCCACTGTTGTGTGCCGTTAATTACCGATAAAATCAAGCTAATTCTGATGCTAAATCCATTTTAATTTCTTATAATTAAGTCAGGATTGGATCCTTAAATACCTTGGTGCTCTATTACTGTTGCAATCATTGTTGTTACTCAGCATTTGGTGTTATGTAGCTGAGCTCAATCTTATTATTATTAGATTTAATTGCTCTAAGTGTTCAGTTTGTAGTTGTCAGAGGAAGATGGACTTGCCTCTCAGTCGTTTTTTCCCCCTTCTTCCCCCACTGTCCTTTCTCTCTATCATCCCAGAAAGAGGCCCTTTGAGAGATGGTAAGAGATGAGGGAAGATGAGGGGGAGGGTAGCTCTGCTTTACACCTCTGCAAAGGAGGGACTGCTTTTTTGTTGTTTGTTAGGGGGGAAATCAATTCTGCTCACATCATCACGTTTTGACAAGGCAGGGCATTAAGTGCAGATATTGAAGAACGACAAGAATGGTTTACAGCCTGTCCTTCATCTTCTCCCCTCTTTTCTTTACTTTTGCCTTTCCTTCAACAACATAATCAGAGTGTATAGTCTTGCTCATCTCTTTTGTTTTTTCTTTCTCAATTTCTTAGTCTCTTTCTCTTCTTTCTGTGTTTTATTCTCCTTCCTCCTGAAAAGGTAGGGAATGATCCGCTTCACTTAGCAGCTGACACCACATAAGCTTCCTCGTCCTCTGAGACACGAGCCTTTTGTTTTCACGTGCATTATGATAATTATGAAGGGCCACAGCTCCTCTCTGTATTTATCACACTTTTAATGATACTTACATGGTTTTTGGGGTGGAGAAATCACTTCTTTTTAATCTTGTGGAAGAACGATTTTGTTATTTTCTTGCTCCTTTTCACCCTAACCTGACATTTAAAAAGTGACAGCAGGAGCAAAAGGCCATGAAGTGTTGCAGCCAATCGCCCAACTGAGTGTGACCGAGAGGTAGCAGTTTTTTAGGTGAAATTAAAAGCACAAAACTCCTCATCCTCCCTCAGACAGAAATCTATCCCTGTGATTAATATGTACCGCTCACTTACTTGCCATTAAGGTAGATAATTTGGCTCTTTTGCCCGCGTGCTGTCACCTTGCATGAGAGGCCATTGAGGGGACCTTTGACCTTGCTCATAATTACACATCCACCATGTTTTCACTGCAGCAACGGCAGTCATGGCCGCCCAAGTCCGATGGCACACCATCCTCCTCCCTGTGGACTGCAGCAGGTTTTCTTGTCATCCGCGCCTCTCCCTCTCTCCCTCTCTTGTCAGTGTTGCTCCTGGCGAAAGGCTGATACTTGATATTCAGAGGATAGCAGCTTTTGTCTCAGAGATTTAATCAGTGGCTCTGCTTCCACTGCAGAGGGGAGATGGAGGGAGGGAGGGTGGCAGGAGAGAGGGAAGGAAGGAGAGATGGAGGCAGAGACTGTTTATGTGTAATGACACAATAACAAAGCCTGCCTGTAAAACACAATCTGCAAACTGTGCTTTTGAAGGGGATTTTCAGCCCTGGATTAGTGTCAGGCAGAGGGGTATGGAAAAGGAGAAGAGAGAAAGAGTCAGGTTGATGTGATAGACAGGGGAGGTGATTTTGTGTGTGTCTGTTTGCAATCGGAAAAGGGGGGGTGGGGGTGGAATGTGTGTGCACTTGTGTGTGTGTGTGTGTGTGTGTGCATGTTTTTTTTTAACAGTTTTCTATTTATTTGGCTCCACAAGTCAGTGACTGTGTGGGCACTGACACATTGTGTTCTCCATTGTAGCAAAAGGGGATTAAAGCTCGCAAATGTGAGTAAAATATTTGGCTGCCGGATGACCAAATGCCTCTTGTCAGGGCTTATGTTGGTGGTCGGTTGATAATAGCTACTATGGTGACTCTTTGAGACTATTAGTGGAAAGCTACCGAACTCGTTAATGCACACGTCACCTAAAAGCATGTCCATTTAGTTCTGGTTCCAGCTGAAAGGACGCACAGAACAATGTTTTCTTTAAAACCTCAAACAGATAATTATTATTTTTGGTTCTGAGATGTTTCCTTTCAGGTGTAATAAGAGCTTTTTAAAGAAGTAACACAGGTGTTGAAATGTGGAGGACTGGTGTGCTCCTGTGTGTAGGAGGGATGGAGGATGGCAAAGAAAAGTGACAAAAGTGTTATTTATCCATTTTGTGCTTGAGCCCCCCAACCTCTGTCACTCCAAAGAGCCCACTTCAGCTCAGCAAAGTGAGCTCTTTGGAAATGTGGCATTCCGGTTTAGGAACACCTTCTCAGATTCAGGATTTTCTTGCATTCAAACATAAACCCTGGTCTGCTGTCCGTTATCAGAGTCCTCAAACATGTCATCCTACATCGTACCCCATATTCAATCAATAGAGGCAGGGAGCCAGTGAGCATGGCTAAATAGAAATATTGTTCAGGGGAAGTGAGATGTGAAAGGAAAAGTGTCAGGGTGTGTGTGCATGTGTGTGCATGGCTGTTTTGTGTAGGTGCGACAGTGTACGTTTGTGTGTTTCTGTGAGTGTACGGGAGGGTGTGCTTTGCTATTGTAACCCCGCTGATTGGATTGTGTTTGACAGATATGGAGTCTGGAGAGCGGCTGGCCTCCCCTGCGCCCACCCTGTCTGCTGCTCGCACCTCCTCCCCTGCGGCCTCTTCTGCCTCCTCCTCCTCTTCCTCTTCGTCATCTCCTGCTCCCCACTCTAAGAGCAGCCTGGCCCCGAGCCCATCAACACTGGGATCCACCCTCAACACCCCTGGTAAGAAACTGTTTTTTTGTTTTTTTTTTTACACGTGTCAATCTTCTGTCCAAAACCAAAAGAAAAAAAAAACCACCAACACACACAATGCAAACCAAATTCACACAACCACAAAAATACACTCCAAATGTGGTCATCTTCATGTCTCGATAGCATTCAGAGTCTCCCTCATTTCTTTACCATGAAAAATGAGTTTCCTCCAGTATTAATTATGCAGTTATTTTGCAGCCAGTGTGCATACACCTCTCCCAGCTACGAGGATTTTTTTGTCCTGACAGCTTGGGTTACAATTGAAAAGCTGCTGCATTAATGAATCCCAAACAATTAGGGGGCTCTTTTGTGTGAGAAACACACACATGCTTTGCCATGTCTCCTGACAACCTTCAGCTCTCTGGCTCCAGCTGCCTCAGAGTCAGGCTCAGCATGCCGCTGTGCACGCATGTGTGTGTGTGTGACCGTGTGTGTGTGAGAAACAGAGAGAGAGAGGGAGAAAGAGCCTCTGCCTGCATGATTTAACATTTGTTAGCCACTCAGTGTCTAGTCAGCCCTGTCCGTCCTCCAGCTTCCTTTCTATGTTTTGGTCAAAGCCATTAGGCAAAGAGGAGTGTGTGTGTGTGTGTGTGTGTGTGTGTGTGTGTGTGTGTGTGTGTGTGTGTGTGTGTGTGTGTGTGTGTGTGTGTGAGTGACTCCGGGTGTTATCCCAGTATCCCATGTGTTAGAGTAAATAACTTACCATACTTTCTTCCTCCTCATTGCCTAATGTCTTACACACACACACACACACACACACACACACACACACACACACACACACACACACACACACACACACACACACACACACACACACACACACACACACACACAGTAGCAAAAAGGATGTGTATCATTTTTCACAGCTGTGGTGTTTTACTCCGTTACAAGAAGAGGAAATAAAGCCCCTCATGGTCCTCCGTGTTGCTCCAAAGATGAAGCCATTGGGAGCATCTTCCTCTTATGCATTTTACATCCCTCTCATCCCTCTGCACTATTACGTGTGCTCAGATTTTCTCGATAAGCGATGTTAGACTCAGCGCAAAAAGAAATGCTTAGAGGCAGAGTGTTGGCTCTAAAGTTTTTGCTGTGCTTTTTGAAAATCTAGCAAGACGATTCTTCCTCATTTCACTCGATGCCTTGAGTGGTGTGTAAACTGTAACTCAAACATTTATAGTTATTATGCCGGCACTCTCTGCAGAAAGCCAGAGAAGAAAGTCGTCTCATTTTCATTCCAAGCTGTAAATATTCTAATGTGAAGGAAAACATTTCTGCACAAAACAACAAGGACGTGTCGAGTGTGTTGTTTAAACACGTAACACGTGTAATTATATATTGTAGAGTTCTGCTATCATAACAGGCTGCAGCATTTAGTCAAGGTTTTTATTTGCAAATGAGTCCGTAACACTTAAGAAAGTAGAATCTGAAGAACATAAAAAATCAGCACCGACTCCTGTTTATATGTGTGTGCATGTGTCATTGATGAGGATATCACTTGGAGAATAAATAAAAGCTGATCAGTGCTTGTAGCACTCTCTCCTTATGGGATCAACTCACGGATGCAATTAACTTAAATCTGTCTGTGGAAATTTGATTGACTGCAACAAACAACAAATTAATCCCCCTTCGGCACCATCCAAACATGAAAAAAGCAGGCGGTGCAGTTTGTCAGAGCGGAGGAAGGATTGAAACAGAATGAAAAAGAGGGCGAGGGAGGTGAGAGTGAGACGGAGTGAGGAAGAGTGAGTAGGTAATCCGAGGTATGTCTTTCCCATGCCTCCTTCTCACTTTAGATTTTTAGATTTAATTATTCGCCTTCTGGAAGCCTGCATTAATATTGAAAAGGCATTTGGAGATGTCACTTTGTGTTGCTTAGAATGAGGGGTTGATGTGAGAGGAAGAGGTGGGCACCCTAGGCATAAGTGAATGCCTTGGACGGCCTTTTTTGTGGGGTGTGGGGGTTGCGTAGCAGTCGTTTATCTTCGTATCCACTAGCTGACGCTGGCAAGGCGGGCATTTATACATATTCAGCATATTCTAATGACATTCAAAAGGCAGAATTTGCTGTCTCGTGGCAGAGAAGGACCTTGAAACCAACACAAAGGGCTCCACACTCATATGTCACACCGCCAAGATGCTGGCAAGGCCACATAACCAGAGACAGTTTGCTCACACTTACAAATGCATCTGTTCATTACTAGTTTTTGAGAAGAGATTTTGGTGTTAAATCGTGTGTAACTGACCCTACTATTAGATCCCTGACTGCGTTAGATCAGAAAACACCATGCTCTGCATTTCACTGACGTGTGCATGTGAATAGTAGTTTGACATTTTCATCTGCAACACTGTGCACAACACTTCTTTTCTGAAGTCATCATTTTTTTCCACTTGTGTATCACCTTGCTTGTGCAGAGGCATCAGGCAGGCTTGCTTTCCTTTTCTGGAATAGAAATTGAATTTGCATGAAATATGCTCACACCAAATTGCATCTGACTCTGGGAGGAGGTAATACGTGGCAGTCGCCCCTGCCAGAAATGATTGTGCTCAGGAATACGCTAGATGATGATGATGTTGATGAAGTATTCTTCTGAGCTGAAATTGAATGCCAAAAGGATGGAAGGAGGTTAGCTTTTTACACCTTATACCTACGGTTATTTTTCTCACAGAGATTATTCTCTCTCTTTATGTGTCTGCAGCGCATTCTAATACTCATATTTAAGTGTGGGACACATCAGATACACAAATACATGAGATATTTACTAAAAAGTGGTTTGAAAAATGTTAAATGTACACATTTTAACATCAAGCAGCTTGTTAAATCTGAGGCAGAAGGTCTGCTGTTTAAACTTAGGCCCAGTGTGTGTTGAATGAAATCTAAACGTTGAATTAATTCTCACACAAATGGAAAATAACCGTTGTAGGTTTAACTCGCCTCTGCTCAGGTGGATTAAAAGTGACACCTTCAAAAGTTTATTAAAGCTAGTTTTTACACCCAGTCAGTTTTCCTACAAAAGCTAGAAGAGGCATCAGCACTTACATGACTGAAAATAGGACAATCCAAACTACGTTTTGTGGAGAGAAAATATTTAAAATGTCCAGAAAATGTACTCCTTATGTTAAACTCATCTGTTTTTGAGCATCAGACAACCTTTAACATAAAGTTTTTAACAACAAAACTAGCTTATCTTAGTAATATGTAAATAGCTTTATAACAATATTGGTATATAATCTAAAAGGAGATTTAAAAAATATCTGAAAAGACCTAAAGTTTGCAAAACATCCAGATTTTTTTCTTCTTACAAAACAATGTGTAAGATGAAGTGTATTTTAAAGGTGTGGGGGACTGAAAAATCATTTTTTTTATGTTGTCTCTGATTATAATCAGTCACTCTGAGTTTTTCATGCTGGCTGAACATGAAAATAGTCTCCACCTAGCTCCTGCATTAGCTCCTGATAGAAAATAACTTCAGATGGTAAAACAGGATTTGAAAAGCTTGACAGATCTACATCACATTGTCACTTAGCATTCATGGACTCACCCAGTGAGTCGTGGTGGATGGCTGCTTATACTGAGCCAGGATCCTCTGGAGGTTTCTTCCTGTTAAAAGGAAGTTTTCCTCCCCACTATCGCTAAATGCTTGTTTAGTATGAGGATTGCTGTAAAGACACTGACACTCGTCAGTAACTTGACGCAATTTGCTGGGTTCCTTATATAGGAAACATTTTACTGATTGGCTTAATGAACTGACCTGTATTGGAATGTTTATTATGTGAAGTGCCTTGAGATGACTCTTGTCATGATTTGGCGCTATATAAATAAACTTGAATTGAATTGAACCTATCTGGACTCACGACAGGGAAGGCTGTTGTTGGTTCAATGTTCAGGAAGCAGCAGTGGACACCTCAGCTAGTTTAAGCTAACTGTTAGCATTAGCATCGTCACCACATGGCAGCAGATCTTGCAGGCGTGTGTTATTTGTAGAGATGAAACATCCATGTTGCAAGTCAGTGGAGACTCCAAAACCTGTCGTCTGAGGCTCAGCTGTGGTGTAGGCCAATTTTAGGTCCATGAAATTGTGCACCGGTATATTTTTCTCCCCCGAGTTACAAGACATTCATTCCTATGAGGTACCACTGTAAATGTATTGATTAAATGAGTTAACTAAAGCTTTAAAGCTTTTTGTAGGTTTGTGAAATGTGAAGTGGTCAAAGCGATAAGCATTTTGACCTCTGCTGCTTTGCATCACATGTGAACTGCCCTCTGAAATGTTTTAACACAACCTCCTCCTCCTGTATCTGCCAAAGGCCGTCTGTTTGGAGCAGCTGGAGAGCAGCCCTTCATTGGCTCTACACTGTCAAGTGCCTTCCCTCTGGTCAACCACCCAGCCTTCGGAGCCCTCTACACTGCCGGAGCGGGCAGGCCTGAGTTTGGAGGCCTGGGCTCCATCGGGATGTCAGCTGCTCTGGCTGCCCACCCCCAGTTAGGAGCTCTGTCTGGTAGGAGGATGACATTAGAGTTTGTGCGGGAGAAAAGGAGTTCGCCTTTAATTCTTTTTGCTATCATCTCTTCTCAGAATGGTGGCGAGCTGCTGAAGCCCATGGACGAGGAGCTGCTGCCTTTCTCCCTTCTTTTATTGGCTTCCCTCCTTTCTTTGCCCCCCACATTCCTCCCAATCACAACGCTAGTCCTGTTCAAATCAGGACGTCCGGCAAGAATAGCCATGACCCACCTAAAGGTACAGCGTTACTTAAAGACGCTTTCTCTGATCATTTTCCCGACTCCAACAATCTGGTTCTTCCTCCACATCCTAAATCCACTTTGCCCTCTGATGAGATTTTCCCTGTTAAATTTAATGACTTCCACTGCTCTTTTAGTCGTTCTGTTAACTTCTTTCTTCAGCTCTTTCCCTCATGTTCTGTCTCGTAATCTCTGTTTCTTGTGCTCTTTTAATTTCACACTATCTTTTAATTTGTCATTTATTATGTAAACCACTTATGTTGAGCTTATTCCTTGTACAGCCAGCCCGTTTGATGAGATACGCACATAAATCAATATTTTTATTAGCCTCATTCCATTCTGCAGTTAGTTCCAGATATTCAATTAGCCCTTGTTGCAAAGTTCTCAGAAAAGATTAAGCCGAATAGTAATACAGCGAATTTTGTGTTTCCAGGGGTGAATGGTGCAGTGAATGGCAGCAGGGTCTGTCCTCCCACCACACAATCAGGCAGCTATTCTGCAAGTCCGGCTCCTGTTCAGGCATTAACAAAGCCAACCAAAAACTCAGAGCCCTCTAATAGCCACCGCAACAGCCCTCAGAACAATCCAACAGAGACGGTGGAAAAGACTGTTGTGAAACCTAAAGAGAAGGTCAGTCGTGAGATCAAGCCCTCAGCTTGAAGTGAACATATATTATACAATAAGACCCGATTCTTACTTTTTCCTCTTTCTATCCACCAAATTCAGAAGGCACGAAAGAAGCAAGCAAGCACTTCTTTGGCGAGCAACAGTGAGTCAGGCACATCCTCAGACAGCTCAAGTGATGGGTCCCTCAGCAGTGATCTGGAAGATCTAGCGGAGGATGATGAGGATGATGATGACGATGATGAAGATGACGAGGAAGAGGATAAACAGCGTGACTTGTCAGACCCTGAGAAGCGAACAAAGAAGAAAGCAAAGGTATGTGAGCAATTGTGGTTTTTAACTCCTTCAATAAAGTAGAACCAAAATACCGTAGTATTCTCATGGGTTTCATTCTAAGAGTTGCTGGTTTAATTCCTCCTAGGTTGTGATACCCAGCACTGGAAAGAGTGACCGACCACTATTAAAGGAATTACAGGACAGGAAAGACACACGAGTTAGGAAGGTGGCCTCAAACCCCCCCACTCTTGTGCCCTTACCCTGCTCTGTCTCCCCTCCGGCTCTGTCCCAAACCTCTGCGCTGGGGCTGCAGAGCTCCAGGTCACGGACGGAGGGCCCACAGCAGCATTTCAGCGTGATTCAGTCCACGGGCCTTGCTGCCAACCCTAAACCCCTCGCACTCCTCACTCAGCCTCGCAGGGAGTCTTCGCCATCTTCTTCCCCAATAGCTCTCACCACATCTCCAAGAGCATTCTTCAGCACTGCCTCTCCCAAACCTCCCAAGCTGTTGCCCTCCTCCTCTCCCCAGCACCTTCCCCTTTCTCTCTGCTCCTCCCCAAAGCCCCTCTCTGTCCCCTCGCCACCCCACTCGACTCTCCCGGCGTCTACCTCCCCAAAACCTTTTGGATTGACCTCATCATTAACAAGCTTCCAGAAGCCCTCGCTGAAGCCACCAAAGCACACCGTGCCAGGCACCGCCAAATCCAACAAGAGGAAACTGCTGGAAGCTTCCCTCGCTCAGATCAATGAGTTCAGGCTCAAACAGGTAGGCCGGCCCATAGGAGAAGTTCAATCATGTCTTTTTAAAGTCAGATTCACATAAAAGACACATGATTTAACACATTGTGTTGTGACAATCACAGCTGCTTCAGGCTTTCAGCTTTATTTGAATTAATTTTATTCACAAAGCTGATTTAGACCTGCAGCTCTTTCTAATTGGAGCCTGTTCACTACATACATTTAAGACTAAATCCAAAATGCTTTATCCAAAGTGGTTTAGAGCTTTTACTTTTTAAGCTGCTGACGTGAGTGGAAATAAAATCTGCAGTTTCTAACATTTCAGAAGTAGAATCATTTATTAGCCAAAAAATGTTATAATTGGTTTCTTGAAATCAGGATGTCATGACAAATGTTTGTGTTGTTAATGGGAATAGAACTCATTTCAGATTTAAACATTTCGTTGATAAGCTTAGAGAAAAACATTCAGAGTAAGTGAATGTTAGGGTATCTAAATCGGTAATTATTAATGAGGTTAGAATGTACAAAACATGACACCTGGCCCTTTTGTTTTCAGTCAGTGTAGTAAAACTCCTCTGCACAAGGTGCTGGTTACACAGCCTGAGGTATTTTTTCTCATTTAAACTGTGTATTAATTTATTTGATAACCTCTGAAAGGTTTTATCCTCTTGTTTCTCTTTCTCATGTTTAACATCAGTAAATTAAAGTGTCAATCACATCATCTTGGCTCAAAGTTTAGCTGTAAAGATTCTACAAGCTTAATATGACTGTTCCAAACTTTTAATGTTTGACTCACTACGATAAGTCTGCTGTTCTAGTGTTGATTATTATTACATTAGGGCTGCACACATTTAGTTGGGTTATTTATTTTCCTGGCCACTTTTAATGGACTGTCTTGCCTTTAACTGCAGATGTTTCGTTTTTCCAAACTAAAGCATGGTAAGGTATCTGATAAGTTGATCGATATGAAATTATTTTGTGTAAATCATTTCCCGTTTTTTGTTTTAGCAGTACAGAGAAGTTTACAAAGAGCTGAATTCCCCCTGTGGTTTTGGCTCTGTTACTGTATTTCATGGTCTGTGAAATTGATTTGCTTTACTTCATATCACATCGAGTTGAAAGTACAGCATTAAAGTCTAACCTGCCTTTGCTTAAACACAGATTGAACCAAACTTGTCATCAAAAAAAGCCGAACATGCTCAGTTGGAAGATGATAACGACAGTGGGGCCTTTCAAATGTGCAGACAAGTAATTACGCTTTCAGAAGGATACACAGTGTGTCTTAGGGTGAACTTGGCCGCGAACAATGCCTTTGGTTATTGCATTTATGTTCTTTTTGTTTCCCCAAAGAGGCTTAGACACAGTTAACTGTACTTGCGTTCAGCATTGTCGTTTTGTCACCTGCTCAAACAATCCAAGACGATGTGAACTGACAGCTAGACCAACTTCACTTTGTCCCATTTCTTTTGTATTTTTCCCTCCTAACCTCTCTTTGTTTCTCTCGCTCTTTTCCCTCCACCTTGCCTTGTTCTCCTCTCCTCTTTCTCCCCTCAGACTCTCATGTCTCAAGGCCAGACGTTCCCAGCTGAGCAAAAGAAGCAGCAGCAGGGGCCAAACAAATCTCCCAAGAGGACATCGCTGTCTTCACCGCCATTGCCGCTGGTTCCACCTCCTCCACCCCAGAACAATCACTCCAACCTCTTCCTTTCGAGTGCCCTGCTGGGTCTCCCTGAACCCCACCACCCAAACGGAGTCATCCAAAGCACCACTCAGGATGCACCTTTGGCCCTCATCACCAAACCTCGCAAAGACTCTGCCTCCCGAGGCAGGTCTCCTCAGCCTAACCCGGATGCTGGGTCAATGCCTGTCAATCTGAGCACAGGGGCAAGTAAGACCCAAGCAAGTGCCCATGCTGGGCCTCCGTCACAGCCTCCAACTACCTCACCCCATGCCGCGGGCCATGGATCTAGAAAGACCAAGACCCCCAAGAGTAAAGTACAGAACCCAGGGCTGGGCCAAGCAGACCCTTTAGCTGCCTGGAAGGGCTTCTCTCAGAACCATCTGGTTCAATCTCTAGTAGATTTGTTTCGAGGAGGAGAGTCTGGCATTGGGATTCCTGGTGTCAGTATCCCTGGGGTTGGAATTCCCGGGGTGGGAATCCCTGGAACATGTAACCCCACGGCTGGTCTTCCAGCCAACAAGGAATCTGACGACTCAGGAGATGATGATGATGATGATGATGAGGATGACGACCTTGAAGAGGAGGATGAAGAGGACTCTGATGATAGTCTTTCAGGTTGATACTGTCTATGCAGCTGTAACACGAACTGCTCACAAATCTAATAACTTGTTTGTCTTGGTTTTCTGTGGTTTAACAACCTTTTTCTGTCCTGGTGTCTCATTGTAGAGTCTGACAGCAACTCAGACAGTGATATTTCTGGGAAGAAGGTGAAGGAGTCAAAGCTGCTGCCATCTGGATCATCCAAGAAGGAGATGACTTCCCACAGGCTTACCAAAGGTCCAGAACTACTGAACACCTCAACCAATCACACCGCCACCAGCTGCTCCCCTCTCAACCTGCAGGTCATCAAGAGTCCCACCATCGCCACCAGCTCCAGTGCCTTGGCCTATCACAGCTCTGCCAGCTCTTCCTCCTATAGCCTAGCCTCCCCATTAGGTAATGCCCTCGAAATCTGATGGCTTGTTTTAAAAACAAATGGTCCTTTAGAATAGCAGATACAAGACCCATGCATAAACCCTAGTTTACACCGGATGCGTGAGCGGAGCATAACAGCAGTCTTAAAGTGTGTTACGTCAACAAAAGAACCCAGGTGTAGGGGTAGGCCGATATATCGGGTTGATATTTACCATTTTTTTTATACATTGGCTGATATTTGTCCTTAGTAAAGCTGATTTAAAGTTAGGAACATCCTCGGGCAGCCCGGTGCTGCTGCAGAATTTATTTAACTGTATTTTTACATCCACTCATAACATCTGCATAATAAATACTGTAAATTAACTTTATTTAGGTGTCTGATTTTAACACTGAGCAGTGCACAAAGTTAAGATTTAGCAGTTAGTTAAATTCAGAGTTCCAAAACTGATTCAGCTTCAGAGTTTTTGTGCATCACCTGATTCTGTTAGTAACATTTTAGCATGAAAATAAGGTGGAAAATGTTTATGGAGATTGGTCCATAAAAATCAGCAGTAAATATCGGCCATTGGCTGACCAAGCATCCTACATGTTGGTATCGGCAATAAAAAAAAACATTATTGGTCGACCTCTACCCAGGTGTATCTTTAGAGGCTCGACAACCCGCTTCTGAGGCACGTCTGACGTGTGTCGCGGCATGTCTGGTGTAAACCAAGCCATAGACTAATCGCTTCTGTTAGCCGCGGAGACTTTCTGCTGCATAAAACTCCTCTCATTCACGTGGAGTTCCTAAATAATTTAATATACCATCAATTAGGGCTGCACAATATATCGTAAATATATCGTTATCGCGATATCAGCATGCACAATATGCATATCGCAAAGAACAGATAAATATCGCAATGAATGGTCAGCTGAAATGTTTGGTACACATAATGCATTCTGTCAATCAAACGGAAGCATGATGTTGTTTTTAACAAATCAAATAAAGCTCTTCACCCATTTGGCCAATTGGGTGGGTTCTCTTAGGTCAGATGCCCGCCCCTGAGGCGGACGGCACTTCATTTTGATACTTGGCAAACACCTGAGTTAGCTTTGTTCTGCTCTTTCTGCTGATTCTGCTTTTCCCGGGATCCACTGATTCCCTTTTCTGGTTCATTTTCTTTTTCCCTTTCCTCACATCTTTTGCTTTTCTCATTTTAATGATTTTTTTATTTTTTTTGTTTTGATTATTTTTGTTCCTGAGTTAAGTTTTTATTTATCGCAGGTAATATCGTCATGGCAATATTAATCATTGTTATCGAATATCGCAGGTTTTCCTAATATCTTGCAGCCCTACCATCAATTGTGATGTAATTGTAATCTCAGTGAAAGTATGAGAAATTGTAAGTATTACTTAACTCTTCAGCTTGATCTTTGCTTTTGAAAGAAAACCAAATTTGTTTTGAAAATGATTTGCTTTATTGTGGCATGCTGACAAATTTAAGTACACCAAATGTTTGACTGCACAGAACTTATTAAAACTGGCATTGCAGTTGTTCGTAATACCAAGTTTTCAGGATTATAAAACTGCGAGGATAGCGTGCATCAAACACAGCAGTTGCACATATTTTGCTGTCATGTAGACAAGTGCCCGAGTGTCTTAAAGAGCTGAAAAAAGAAAAACAGTTCTTGGAAGGGCACAATTGAGAGCTCTGTGAACAGCTGACTGATGCTTTTTTGATAAAATAACAAACCTTGCAGACATATTAACTCTCTGCAATGAGACCAAAAGCAGAGGCAGTTGTGAAGCAGTCAAACACTGCAAAAATGTTTTATACATCACCCTTTAGCTGTTTCTTTGTCGAAGTATTTCCAGGAGGACACACAAAACTCAGGATGATCAAAGAATGCATTGTACAGTTTTTTATTATGTAATTTTTTTTTATCACTTGGGAATTTAAACTGATTGGGATCAGTGTGGTGACTCTCCAATAGCCAGTACACTTTATCTAAGTAGACTAGAATAATAACTCAAACAAGGAAGCTAATAGATAAAGTGAAAGTCATTGTTTTCCTGCTAGATGACACGACTCAGCAATAAAATCTATGTAATCCAGTTTAGATGCAACCTGCCTTTTAGCAGATCAAGCCTGTTTCTTCGTAGTGAAGTGAAAGAGCTGAAATCTTTCACAAAGTTTCCACTTCAACAAGCTTCACCTTTAATGACGCAGTCAGATTATTTTGTTGGGGTAAAATAAGTGAAACCGCAGCCTACTTTTTCCTTTGGAATAAATATTAAAGATATTTGTTGAATCTGACATTGAGCTGAACAGCTCCGAGGCTTAGAGAATGTTCCGTGCACTCGATTCTGCACACAGAACCACGACACACATAAAGAATTCAGGTTTGCCTTGCTGAAAAAGTACACTCCCTTCATTCTCAGGTGGGTATGAGAAGGGCTTGTTCCTTTTGAATGGCAGGAAGAGGCGGCTTGTTGTCACAGCACAACCACGGGTCTTGTAGGGGCACGTCCAAGAGCCCAGACAAGTTGTTTGGCACAGCAGCGAGGTTCATTTCCGCTACTTTGAATAAGAGATAACCCGGCTCTGATAAAATAGGGCATAGGTGTGGATTGCCAGGAAGACGGATATAATTTTAGTTTTTCTTTTAGTTTAGTGATTTTGCTCCTTCTTCTGTGCACTGTTGCATATCAGGAAATTGTTTTTAGCACTTATGCTTTGTTGTAACCGTGTACTGAATTACACATGATGTAAGAATCATGTTGATGGTCCAATGTTGTCCTTTTATTGATGCCTGGTCATTCTTTCCTCAGGTTTAGGGAAGAGGAAGAGAGTGATGGATGAGAAGGAGTTGATGGCACCTCTGGAGTTGGGGTACGTACATAGTTCAGAAGAAAACATGTAAACAAGGAATTTACCTCCAGTTGTGTAGAAACTCTGCAGTGTTTTTTTTAAAACAGAGGTATGAAACCCACGCGGCACGCCTGAACACCTGTGGTATTTTTTCTTTCGTCCTAGGTGGCGGAGAGAAACGAGAATCAAATCAGTGGCTGGGCGCCCGCAGGGCGAGGTGGCCTACTATGCCCCATGTGGCAAGAAACTAAGGCAATACCCAGATGTGATGAAGGTACCTCGGTGTCCCTGTGCTGCAGTCTCATCTCATCAATAATACACAAGCAAATGTTTGTGGGCAAACTGATGAGTGCTTTAGTTTGGTAACAAGAATCACAGCGATAGTTTATTCTGGACAGCATACTTGATGATTTATAGCAGTTTTACTTTTTTTAAATGGCAAACTGCTCATCTATCATGCTCGCAGAATTGCTTGTGTATCAGTGTTTGTTGTGTTGTTTATTGTCTATGCTACTGCTTCAGTTACGCTCCCACCCTAATCCCATCACTGCCCTGCTTCCCTATGTCCCCTAATAGTGACAGCTGACATTCCTACATTTACTTCCTTTGCCACTTTTTTCACTTCTCTCTGGCCCCTCCCTACCAAAATCATAACGCTTAGTTTTGGGATGCACAACTTTGACTCCATTTGTACAGATTTGTATTTATCTAATCTTCTAAATTTGCTTTATCAAAATCTCAGCCACACCATTTGTCCAAACTGCCTTTGAGTGAAATAGTGCAGACAAAAAAATGTCTACGCAGTAACATTCACTTACTGCTGGTCGTTCAGCAGGCAGTAAAAGACGAGCAGTGCCACAGATAAATAGGAAGGGGCCTGAATTGTGCATCCCAAGGTCAGAACCATTTTTCTCTCCTGAGAGCTTGAGCTCTTTTTTTTTTGTCCCCCTCTGCTTTTATAATGATTAGTAGCACTGCACAGATGCACCGCTACCATAGACTTCCCTCAGTCTAGTGCCTCCCAGTTGCTTTTCAATGTCGCTAATTTCGCAGTTTTTTTTTCCTGCCTAAACCAACGCCATTATTATTTTCTCTTCTGTAGTATCTATCCAGAAATGGAATAAGTGGCATCACGCGTGATAATTTTAGCTTCAGTGCAAAGATAAGGGTTGGTGACTTCTATGAAGCCAGAGAAGGACCCCAGGTGACTGCCTTTCATCTCTCTCTCTCTGTCCCTGATCCCTGTTCATCTTTTTCATCTAGCAGCAGTCAAAGCTTCATGCAGCAGTCACTGTCAGGGTATGGATAGGAATCAACTAAAAAACCCTCAGTAGTCTAAGTTCATAGACCTCTCACTGTGCATGGAAAAATGTAATAATCAGCTGACATTACTTCCACAGGTGACCAGTGATATGTGTTACAGTACTCTGAATAAGTCTTCAGCCTCACTTCTTTTTTTCCCCATTAAGCTTCCGATGATGGAGACCTTCTTGGGAATTTTTTAAGCTGCCTTGAATAAAAGTTTCCTTTAGATAATAGTAGCTTTTACACTCATTCCTGGTTCAGTCCCTTTATATAATCATTTCATTTAATTAAGTTGGCTAGATTGTTAGTGATAAGCCATTTAACACTAACCTATAAATCCTTCTACCTAAATGTATCAAAACACAAACAATTAAACTAGGGCTGGGCGATGTGGACCAAAACCTATATCTCGATATCTTTTAGCTGAATTTTGAAATACGATATTTTTCCTCCTGTAAAATATTTACAAGTTAACACCCTTCAAGCTGTCTTGAGAAACTGTATACATATATTCATCAGCAGAATAACCAGCAGCTCTCCGTACACGTTACCTGATTACACGGGGGAGGGGTTTGACCTGTCTCTTCACACAAGCAGGATAAACAAATCTCCTTAGCAGCCACGATGAAAAGGCTATCTAAAACACGAGCAGACATCCCCAAATAACTAAAACCCATGAAGCCAAATGCAATGATTAGGGCAGAACATTGACCCAGAGAGTTCCTGATCAAGCAGACCCGTGAGAACACATGGAATGACCGCTTAGAGACGGAGCAAGCTAGCGGATAGCAGTAGCTGCGCTTACTAACTCTAGAAATACACTGGTTGTATAGTTAAATCAATATAAGCAATACTGCGTCGTCTTGTTTCTTGTTTGAAATTATATCAATAATTTAAAAAATCAATATATCGCCCAGCCCTAGATTAAACATTTCTCTATAGGTAACAGCAGAATATGCCCCCAAAAAACAAAATAAACTTTAAACTGCACCTAAAAGCATTTTTTAATGGTTGAAATTATAATTTTTACATTGAAAGGGATCTCCAGAGCTCAGTAAAATACAAATTCTGCAAATTTGGATAAAAATGTCTCTTTCATGTTTTGAGGGCTTGAATTGTAAAAAAAAAAAAAAAAAAAAACCTTCTACAGTGGATCCTATATATAGAAATACATCCTTTTAAGTAAAAAAATTCCAAACTAAATGTTTGAAAGACCATCAGAAATGTTGTGAAATGATTTCCCGGAGCTGTTCAGGAATATCACAAGAAAATGTGGCTCTTTGGAGACAAAATATAAAGAAAGAACATGTGGCTCAAAACCTTTTCTCAGTACTGTGTGTGTCCTTGAAACTTAAGAGATAAACTTGAAAATGTTAACTTGATCTTTTGAAGCAGAACACTGAATGTTATGTGCTGTAATATGTTATTCAGGAAGAGACCATTAGAATCCTAAAAACTTTAACATGCTTTAAATATCTTTGCCATAATCTGTTTTAGTCAGGTTAGGGGAAAATATAAGCTTAAACAAACCCTATTAAGTTTTTGTAACTTTGTTTCCACATTAAAGTCCAGATTAAACTGTTCCTCACTTAAATGATTTAAATTTATGCAATTAGTCATACCTCTCACCAGCCCTTTGTTTTACTCTCCAGGGTTTACAGTGGACCCTGTTGAAGGAAGAGGAAGTTGTTCCTCGAATCTTGGCGATGGAAGGTCGCAGGGGTCGCCCTCCGAATTCAGAGCGGCACCTAGCAGGTGATGGTGCCAAAATGAACCGCCGAAGGAAGGGTAGACCACCGAATGTGGGTGATCCGCATGCACCTGAAGGCCCAAGCCCCAGTGAGGTCAAACTCCTGCGCAAGCTTGAAGCTCAAGGTGAGGAGAAGAAATGAGCCCTGAAATGTGTTTGTCACAAGCATGTGTGCCATTAATCAACCAGTAGTTATTTGAATAAAAGAAGGGGAAAAATGGCCGTGCAGCTCAGTGTTGAACGGCAGTTTTTCATGCTTATTTGTTGAATCAGCTCCATGTGTGTTGATTTAGCTGCTTGCCAAGATGTTTCCAGATTATTATCATCTTTTTGACATTTTGTTATTACATGGAGAACACATCTACATTAGTGAAAATTCAGTAAAATATTTGAACAGTTTAACTTAAACCCTGTGTGGTAACTGGTTACCAGTTTAAAGAACACTGAACAGCATTCGGGCTTCCCCCTGAACTTTTTCCACTGACAAAGCCTTTCTCTCGGCTCTGTGTAGAAATCGCCCGACAGGCTGCCCAGATGAAACTGATGAGAAAACTGGAAAAGCAGGCACTGGCGCGTGCAGCCAAAGAAGCTCGCAGACAGCAAGGTAAGAGAGCGCAGAGCTGTAAACATGCTGGTGCAAGTTATTCAGCTGGTCAGCCTGTCACTTCAGACTACTTTGATCTAAATGAGTGGAGGATGAACACCGGCAGGACCTTTCTGGAAGCTCAAGCTGCTCTCACAGCTTTTGTTTGTGGCTACGTTCAGATTGGGCTTCAGAAGCTTTGATCTTTATGGTCTGAAAGGTTTTTGCAAACCCGCTGCTAGTTGAATATACTTTTATAAATATATATTGTTTTGTACATAATAATGAATTTAAAACTTCAGACGAAACCTCAAAAGCCTTCTTCGGGTTTAAGAGCAAGAGTTATTTTTTATTAAATGTTTAATAACACTGCAGCGTTTAAACGGTTTCATGAGTGCTTGCCACATTTATAAAATATGTAAACATATTTGAAAGATTCGGTTATAAAATGGGTCTACTTTTATACTCACAAACTACATCCTCACTGACCTTTATGCTAAAAGACCCAAAGTCACTCATCATCTCTCAGCTATGTTGTTTCCTGGAGAATTAATGCTGAATAACTTGAGCAATAGTTTTTTAAAGGGATACTTTGCAACTTTTTCATATTTTAAAATAATTTTCATGAGCTAGTGTGTGCTAAAATGAGCCTTTACAAGGCTAATAAAAGGTCACCCAGCCCCTATTGCCCCCTGTGGCCAGAATATTCCACTTGCAACTTCAGTCTGGTGGCTGCTCTGTTGGGAAAAAATTGGTCTGATATACCCGGTTCTGCAGTCTGGTTCCAGCACGTTTCCTGCATGTTTTAGATCATGAACACAGCTGATTTGTTTAATTTAAGGATGAATTACTTCTTTAGACACTAATGAAAGCTGGGGAGAGATCTCAGCTGTTAGATTAAGGTGTTAAAAAGACAAACGCACAGCGAGGAGATAGGTTTTCCTCTAGGGGGTGCTAAAAGCTAACCAAAACTGCCTAATTCCCCTTTAAGTTGTTGTTTGTCCATGTAATAATGAAGAACTCCATAAAAGTCCTTGTTTAAGGATTTAAATATTCAGTTGAACTTGTTTAAAAATTTTTGTCTAATGAAGTGATGGCTTCACATCAGATTAATTGATTAAAGCTTTCCTAAAGAGCTGATGTTGGTCCCAAAAAATGTTCCTCTACAATGCATTCTTTCTAACTCCCGATCAGTTTGAAAAGGATTTTACAGACTTTAAGGCTACACTAACAAATTTGGAAAACAAAATAGCTTAAAACCTTCTTCATGCCTCTTAACAACATTCTAACCGGTGTTTATTTTTACAAGAAACTTTTGTTTAGTTTTAGTCTTTTGACTAAAATTATTTTTAATTTTCGTCACAATTTAATCATTCAAAGTATTTTAGTCTTGTTTAGCTGACTTAAATGATAGAATTTTTCTCCTGATGCAATAATTTTCTCCTTTTGTAAAGGAAATGCTAACTACACCCACTTGAAACTGTAAAGAAATATGTAAAATTTATATTTCACACTTTGGATCAATAAAACTATATTTATAATTGTTTCTATAATAATAATCATTGGAAAATAACAAAATGAACACTTGACTGTTTAAAATTGTGCCTCTCAATATTAATAAAATAAAAAATGTGTATAATGTGCTGTAATATTTGTAAACATGACAGGAAATGACATCATACCATTAGACTGATTGGTCAAGGTGGGACACCTGAATGTTTCACCTCACAACCGCTAGAACACTGAACGCTGATCATTGGCAGCGCCATAAAAATGACAATTAGACATCAAGATGTGTGTCGTGCTGCTCCGTGGTTTGGTTCGCTGAGAATGGTTTATGGTCCACCTGGTCCAAGCGGTTCTTTCCTTCAGGAGTTTAGTGACTTTCTGTCCTCCATTGTGAAGCTGTCCAGACTGGTGATTGTGGGTGACTTTAACATCCACGTTGATGATCCCTCTGATCACTTAGCCATGAATTTCTCCAGCCTTATGGACTCCTTCAGCTTTACCCAGCATGTTTCTGGCCCCACACACACCAGGGGGCATACTCTGGACCTTGTTTTTACCCTGGGTCGAAATGCTGACAGTGTTTATCCTGAAGACATTTATATTTCAGATCACCATTGCATTTTCTTTAACTTGTCAGTTTCTGCATCCCCACCTCCTGCTCGCCATATGGTTAGTTCTCATTTTCTTAAAGGGACTTTACGGAGTTTTGAATTTTTATGCTCGCGATTGCCCCCTCAGGCCAAAAGTGTAGCTGCAACTTCAATAGTAGGCTCGTGCACGAGGCGCACATGCTGTACGTGCACACTCCTTAACGAAAATAACAGCTGAGACAGTCCCGTGTGTGTGTGTGTGTGTGTGTGTGTGTGTGTGTGTGTGTGTGTGTGTGTGTGTGTGTGTGTGTGTGTGTGTGTGTGTGTGTGTGTGTGTGTGTGTGTGTGTGTGTCCCGGAGGACAGAGGACAGGAGAACGCGCAGCTAATTAATTAAATAATTTGGTTCTGTACCTTTCTCTTCAGCACAGCCGACAAAGGTTTAAGATGCGTCAGTCCTCCTGCAAGTTCAGATCATGCCCTTCCCTTGCTTGAAAAATTGTTCTAAAATGAAGGTTGAACCCACATCTTTTTTATCTGTGAATTCAATGCCGTTCGGCGAGTCTCAAATAAAAATTTGGGCATCTTACTGTAAAAAAATATACCATTAATGTAAAAAATAAAAGTCTGAATAAACTATGTTCACATCTAGAATCGAACCCGGGTCTTCCGCACGAGAATCCGCCGTCTTTCTAGGTAAGCTATAGCACCAGTGACATCTTTTGTATCTGTAATATTTATATCCTTGATAACAGCTGAAACAACGCTCAACGGTTCGGAGCGAAAATGGCTATTTTGTTGCTAAGTTGCAGGAAATATCTAGAAGAAAGTAGCTAAGGGTCCTTAGAAATGTAGCTAGGTTCATCACTAGGCGTTAGGAACAGCGACAAAGTCGCTCAGTTGGCACTACCTCACTCTCTGCTGCTAAAGCTACTGATAGCAAATGCTACGGGCTATGCCTGAGCGTGAACGCGCATGAAGCAGCCTGCTCGACCCGAGCAGCTCTTTTTTCTGATTATTTTCTGAAAAACAGGCAATCACAGTAAAAATGCCAGGGCTCATTCTACAGGACCAGGGCATTGCAGGAGAATGTATGAAGAAGAAATGTATTATTTCTTTACATGTTTTGGCTGTCAAACTTCCATAATGTCCCTTTAATGAGAGCACAGCTAGCAATTTTTCTGCTGCTTTTTATCCACCCTGTTCTTCTGATAACAACCCAGATTCCTTAAATTCTCAGTTTAACGAGCACTGCCTCTCCATTCTGGACAACATCTGTCCTTTCAGAACCAGATCAGTTCCTGCAGTGAACCCTACTCCCTGGTTTAATGACAGCCTTCCCAGCCTAAAGCGCCAGTGCAGAAACATTGAGCGCTTGTGGAAGAAAACCCATCTCCACATCCCTCTGCTGCACCTAAAGGATCTTCTGACATCCTTTAACTCTGCAGTCAGAGACACTAGGGTTTCCTACTTTTCCAACCTGGTGTCCCAGAGCAAAGGGAACCACAAGGTGCTGTTTAACACCATCAGGAGCATTGTGTCTCCTGCCTCTCCTACAGCCTCCATCCACTCTGATGCAGACCATGAGAACTTTCTGTCTTTCTTTGTGGACAAAGTCAATAAAGTCAGATTTAGCATCTCTCCTTCAGCCTTATCGCTGCCTCTCCCGACTCCAACCAGGCCCATCATCCTAGATAGCTTTGCTCCTGTTTCTTTGCCTGAGTTAACCAAACTAGTTAACTCTATGAAGACCTCTGCATGCCCCCTCGACATCTTACCCTCATCTTTCTTTAAAAGTGCTTTTCAGTCCATCGGTCCCAGCGTGCTCTCCATTATTAATGCTTCTCTGGTTTCTGGTCAGGTCCCTGCTTACTTTAGGAATGCTGTAATCCACCCGCTTCTTAAAAAACCGAGTCTTGACGCCTCTCTCCATAGCAGCTTCAGACCCATCTCTAAACTTCTGTTCATCTTCAAGATCTTGGAAAAGGTTGTGGCTAAACAACTCACAGCTGCTCTTGATAAACATAACATCTATGATTGCTTCCAGTCAGGTTTTCGTAGAGCTCATTCTACTGAAACAGCTCTTCTTAGGGTCTCTAATGACCTTCTGACTCACAGTGATGCAGGGGACTGTTCTGTTCTGGTCCTGCTGGACCTGACTGCAGCCTTTGACACTGTTGACCATCACCTGCTACTGGAGAGGCTGATAGACTGGGTAGGCCTATCAGGAACTGCTCTGGAGTGGTTCTCCTCTTATCTTCCTGAGCGCTCCTTTTCTGTAGCCGTCTCCCAAGTTTAGGTCCTCCACCACCTCTCTTACCCATGGTGTCCCACAAGGTTCTGTGCTGGGGCCTTTGCTCTTCCTCCTCTATCTGCTTCCTCTTCAGCACATCCTGAGCTCCTTCAAAGGAATCTCCTACCATCTTTATGCAGATGACATCCAACTATACATCTCCTTTAAGCCCCATGAGATGTCTAAGCTGCAGCTGTTACACACCTGCTTAGACTCTATTAAAACCTGGATGGCTGGGACCTTTCTACAGCTGAATGAAGATAAGACTGAGATCCTCATATGTTCCCCAGACGAGCTAGTTCCCAAAGTCAGAGACTCTCTTGGTCTGCTTGCTTTTCACACCAAACCTTCAGTCAGGAATGTTGGCGGGACCTTTGACCCAGCTCTCACCCTGGATTATCATGTCAGTTCTCTTGTTCGCTCTTCCTTCTTCCATCTCAGGAACATTGCTAAGCTGAGTCCCATTCTGTCCCGCTCTGAACTTGAGACAGTTATCCACACCTTCACCTCCTCACGCTTAAACTACTGTAACTCTCTTTTCACGTGTCTGAGCAGAACCTCCCTGAACCGTCTGCAGGTGGTTCAGAATGCCTGTGCTTGGCTTCTGACCAAGTCCTCCAAACACACCCACATCACCCCGCTTCTCCTCCAGCTTCATTGGCTGCCAGTCAACTTCAGGGTTCATTTCAAGATCCTGGTACTGGTCTATAGTTCTTACATGGACAAGCACCATCTTCCATTGGTGATCTTCTTAGTCCCTACACCCCCAGCAGGTCCCTGAGGTCCAGTGATCAAAGCCTACTGGTTGTGCAGCACCAGGCTTAAGACTAAAGGAGACAGATCATTTGCTGCTGTGGCCGCCAGACTCTGGAACTCTCTCCCCCTTAGCCTGAGATCAGTGGACTCAGTGGTCTCCCTTAAAAAGCAGCTGAAGACTCACTTGTTCAAGCTGGATTTGTTAGCCTTGTGAACTTGACCAAATTCTTGCTTTGCAAAGTTTGTAAATGTAAATAATACATTTATTTAGTCTGGCTTGCCAGGCTAGCCTTTTGTATGACCGTCTTCACCACTCTCTTTATTCTGCTCTCCCCACCTATTCCAACTTCCTCAGGATCCGCTGATTTCCCTCTTTCCTATTCACTCTCTCTCTTTCTTAACATTTTTTAATCACAATTGTCTATTTTTTTGCTCATTTTAATTATATTTTTAACCATTTTCTACATTATTTTTAATATTTTTACATTTTTTGTTTTTGTGAAGCGCCTCGTGATTTTTATCTTGAAAGGCGCTATAGAAATTATATTTTCTTCTTCTTCTTCTTCTTCCAACACCATTCTCCCACCCCTGCTAGCTGCTAACAACACCATAACACTTTTAAAACCAGGGGAAACCCTGGATGTGTACTCAAAAAACAAACACCTTTCAGATCGTCACATCTACTGCTTTTACTCCCAGCGGCAGACATTTTCTCCCTTTAAACATAACTTTTACCGGCATAAATATCAGTATGTGAAGTTTGGTTAGTGGTAGCTTGTTCCAACAGCAGCCAGTTTCGGACTAGTGATGTGTCGGTCACGAGCAAACTGGCTCTAAGAGCCGGCTCTATGAAGTGAACGACGGGAGCCGGCTGTCATTGGGAGCCGTCAGCTCTTTTTGGTGAGCTGAGCCAAAAGAACCAGCTCTCTAAAACGAGCCGGAATTCCTAGCACTACTTCTGACTCTTTTCTCGTCTAGTTCTGCCTGTTCCATTAGCTGATTGTTTCTTTTTTTTTTGGTTTCCCATCTTTTCCATTTTCAGTTTTTTGGGACTTTCGTTTCTGTCAATTTTTGTTGTCATCTCTTATTTGTCAATGTAAATGTCAGTCAATATTTGTCATAATTTAGTCTTTATTGGCGTGTTTATTTTAGTTTTTGTTTCCATTTAGTCCACAAAAATTCATTTGCCACAAAAAAAAAACTAAAATATTAAATGAACGAAATTAACACAGGTTCTAACATAGTATAGCTATAAACATTTTGTGGAGATTAAATAAAAGAAAAAAAAATCAAAAAGTGTTTATTTTGCATTTGTTTAAAATCATCCGCCTATGACACTTTTCCAGACCAAAAACAATTATTGGGCCATCCGGTTGTCAGTCTGGCTGAACCCGGCGTACATCATCACGCTCTCACGTAGCAACAGAACACCACTAGTGTGAGAAATTCTCAGTCCAATAATATCAGAGATGGAGAAACATCAGGTTGAAATTCAGGACCAGAGTCCCAAAAAGAAAAACACCATTTGAAGCCACAAAAAACAAAAGATGTTTGAACTTTGAAAATGGTGACTGATGTTTAGCACTTTCTCGTTTTCTATGGCATCTCGGGTTTCAGGGAAGATACCCAAGGGTAGGGGTGAGTGTTACGTGCCCATGTTTGCATTCAAAACCTAGCTTGTTTGCAAATTCACTATAACAGCTTTAAATAAATCTTCTGATTTAAAATCAGCTTGACGAAGCAGAAATATAACAAACATTACAACAAAAACAAAACCTTGTATTGAATTTTGTCAAAAAAATAAAAATAAAAAAGCTACGTAATCAGTTTTGATTTTAACACCAAAACAGACGTTTGGCCTCTGATGTGAAAAATGAAAGATTACACAATCAACCGCACTGTTTGTACTGAATTACGTAAACCTGTAAACTACTAGATGCCATCTATCTATTTTTTTTCTTCCATGTTTTTATATGAATCCCAAACTGGGAATACTGGCTCCTTAAACTGTGATTCGAGCTGCAACCTAGTTTTAATATCTGTGACAGAATTATAATCATATTCACATTTTACCATTGTTATGGTTTTACATGCAGCAATTTATTTTGATTAAAAAAAGTAAACAATATATGTATATATATACAGTAAATCCTCTAATACAGGCCCGGGCCTGTATTTGACTCAAGCTCATCAAGCTCCAGGCCTTTATTGGAAGGAAGGCCAGAATTAGAGGTAGGCCTCAATTTCTATTTGAGCAAAATGAACTAATGGTTCACTGGAGTTTTTGACAGTTAAAATTGCACCCACATTTTCAAAGTTAAGCACATTTCTTTTAACAACAGTAGTTTCTGCTTCAGCCCTCCCCCTGCGCAGCGGCCGCAAACTCACTGATGCGCCTGCAGCCTCTCAGAGTTTCTGCTGCTCTAAACATTAAAATAATTATTTCATTTTCTGTTCCTCACTTCTGATTACCTTCAATGGTGTCTGTTTGTTGCAACCAGCAGGTACAAAAACTAACTTGTTTTTATTTGACTATTTTTCTGTCCTGCCTGTTTATTATCTTCCTGCATCTCCTCTCAATCCTAAAGAGAAACTGCTACCTGGCTTCATATATATTCACCTTATGAGTTACCTTTGAACTGCAGTTCTAAAAGATCCACCGACCGCAAAAACAGCGGAGTGCTCGCTGCTTGCCGGCTGCATCAGTTAGGTGCGTCACCGAGGAAGAAACAGGTGATGCGCCCCGATCCACAGCAGCTAAACGCATCAGGCACAAATAAAAGAATAAAGACAGAAAACATAAAAGGAAATGAGCCGACATGAACGATTGCGTGATAAATTAGTTTTTGAGGTGGCGACACCTGATTTGATAATGTTACTGTGGCCGTGCTCAGGACGCAGATGTCTGGAGCGCGTCAACAATCAGAGCTTTGCATGCGCACGCTGGTTAAGGTTAGGATGGGGGTGAGGGTAAGGTTAAATTGCAAGAGGGTAAAGGTCACAATTTGGTTAAATGTCCGTTTTACGGCGGGTGTCAGTACCGACGCTCTGGCACAGTGCGTTGCCTACAGTTAATTAAATACAGGCTAATATTAGAGGATTTACGGTATACGTGTGTGTGTGTGTGTGTCTGTGTAAAAAATACCTGTCATCATCTATAATTTTGATAGAGGCAAATATAAATGCCACAAGCTTATTTATTTATTTTAGCAATGAAATTGAATTCCATTGAAACTACCAAATCAGAATCAAGTTTCTCCCTGGGTCTTAGCAGCTCCTCTCTTGAAGGACTGGTTTCAAACTGACTCGTTTCTCTTGCAGCTATCATGGCAGCAGAAGAGAGAAGGAAGCAAAAGGAGCAGATCAAGATCCTCAAACAGCAGGTGAGTGTTTCTTCACAGGTGTGCTGACATTCAGATTCTTTGTGAGCTCTGGATTAAAGCGGAATGGTTATTTTGCCGTCCTCCCCTACTTTTTAATTAACATTATCACTTCTAAACTTTGCTGTATCTCTTTGCCCTCTCTGAGGGAAGCAGAGTGGTTGGAAAGCGATTTTTATCTGTGGGTGTTTCCCAGTATCCAAAATATTAAGGGTATTTTTTTTTCTTTCTTTTACAGGAAAAGATCAAGCGCATTCAGCAGATTCGGATGGAGAAGGAACTGAGAGCGCAGCAAATTTTGGAGGTAGAAAATCTGATCCAGCAGCACCTCTGATTAAGCAGAGCATTCCTGGATAACTCCAGCCCCTCCGTCTATAGTGTTTTAATCTTCCTCAAGCTCATTACTGAACAGCAGCATGCATTGGAGGGAGTTGTGTCTTCTTAGGCATAATTCCACATGGAACTAATGCTAAATTGGTCTTGGTTGACGGCTGTTGAATATTAAAATTGATGTAGCATGCCTCTTCAGACCTTATTTAAATTGGACAGAAAAGTTTTTTTTTTCATCAGACAACAGTAACATTTTAGCGTAAGTGGGTCAAAGCATAAAAAACAGTTTTCCACACAAACACACTTTGTGAGATACAAACGCATTCACACACACAATGATACTGCAAGAGCTTCAAAGTGTTTTAACAGGAATAAATCAATTTTGAGTTGACACGGTTGGCAAGCCACACTTAATGGGAGGCTTCAGCATTTTAACAATTATTCGTTAAAGAGATACATTATTCATTCTCTGTGTTTTACAAATTTGACTGGCATTCAGGAGCTGGAAATCTTTGCTGGAACCTGAAGAGTGCGAACAATCACTTTGAATGCAACAAAGCCGTCAGCCACGATGGATTGATACACGTCTGTCTCTGATCCTAATCTTTATTCACAGGCTAAACGTAAAAAGAAAGAAGAAGCCGCCAATGCCAAAATATTAGAAGCTGAGAAACGCATAAAGGTAAATTTATGTCTAAATTAAAGACAAATAACCAATTATTTCAAATGCTTAAGAGGTAGAAGTTTAATTTGTATTAATTTTATCCTGTTTCATTCATTTTGACTTTCAAGGAGAAAGAGTTGAGAAGACAGCAGGCGGAGATTCTGAAACACCAGGTAGATATTTAATAATACTTACCAATCTATACTATTAATGATGCTTGTTACAATTGATTATTTAAACATCTATTGATAAGATTTTACAGGTGTGTGTGTGTGTGTGTATGTGTGTGTGTGTGTGTGTGTGTGTGTGTGTGTGTGTGTGTGTGTGTGTGTGTGTGTGTGTGTGTGTGTGTGTGTGTGTGTGTGTGTGAATGGGAATCAGATTGAATTTAATAAATGAATGAGTGAGGATCTAAAGGATGAATGGGATTAGTTACAAGACATTTGTTAAATGACATACTTGAGTATTTAAACCCCATGCTTATTGGTGCTGGTTATCACTTCTGTTCCATAATATTTTGCCAACTCTCTCTGCCAGGAGTTGGAGAGGCATAGACTAGATATGGTATGGGTATGTTTATTTTTGTACATCTAACACCTGCATCGTGTAACTGGTTGTGTTATGGTTGTCATAGCAATGCATTAAGTGTAGCCCTGGCTGCTGTCATACTACATTCTTCTGCATGGCTTTCCAGCAAAAACCAACAAAAGAGAAAAAGAGTCAGTATGCTGCCTCCATCTGCTCGTCCTGAGGGACAACTGACCCTGTCACAGTGGCCAGGCAGCTTCTGTCCTCCCCCCCTCCTCCTCCATCCCACACCCCCCACACCCATCCTCCCCTTCTACTCAGAATGCATTGCAAAGACCGCTAGGCAATCCACACTCACTGTCTGAGAGAGCGCTGGAGGAGTTTCCATCCATCACATACATTGTCTAACTGTTGTATCGGAGTAGCCTGTTTTACCCATGAGTGCTTGACGATTTCGGACCAGAGATTGAGCTTGTGTCTGTTCGTCCGTGCATCTGTTCTGCTGTCCGCAGAGTGCTGGACTTAACCTGCCCCATCTGAGCCTCTCTGTCATTCACTGTTCCTGTACCTTTTTTTTCCCACAAAGACTGAAAACATCTACCGAGAGTCATTTTGTCTTTATGGTGGCAACACTTCCTGGCAGATTTCCCCACAGTTTGAGCACAACAGACATTGCTTGAAAAAGGCATCTGTTCCTCAGAAAAAATAAAGCATATCACTGATTCCACCATGAGGACAAACATGGTTCTGTGTAGCATTTTGTTCTGGCCTGGCTCTCCTGCTTTAGCCTTTTTCACTCATACACAGTCACAGCTGAATCTACAGATCTGCCTGTTTGTTTCTCACCCAACTGATCGAATTACTCCATCAGCCTCCGTGTGCCATTACTCTTCATTCTGAACGCAATGAAAACGAGGTGCATGATATAATGCCACTGAAGCCTTTTACCTTTTGTTAGTTTGGATTATTTGAGGGGAAAGAAGAACTCAACAGGCCTTCTGTCCTTTTATCAATAAAACAAAACAAAGACAAGTCAGAAAACCCTAACAGTGCTCAGCTTCTTGCCTGTTTTGTTTATCACAATGATGAAACAATCCTCACGTCACTTTAGTCTCTGTGTGCTGGAAGCGTCCTTGCCGAGCCCTAATGGTGGTAAATGTGTCTTCCTGGTGGATCATAGAGGGAATGACAGCCTGGTGCGGTTGGAGCAGGAAACCGTAAAGACATCAGATACAATGATAGGCAGTCACCAGTGAGTCCTGTGCCCTTTTGCTGTAGACGGTGTATCATTGCACCAAAGAATAACCTAGATGTCTCGTCCTCAGCAGGCACGTGCTGTGCTAATACCTAATCTGCCAAAACCACTGGGCTGGAACTGCCCAGTTTGTAGCAACTCTTCACCATCCGTTCTTCTTTGTCATCCCCTCACCAAATATTATTGGAAAGATGAGTCAAATAATGATTAGCTTTGACTCACATAATCAAATCTTTTTGTTTTGATTACGATGCCAGTGTGGCATGTCAGACGACTTGTTGGAACTAGCATTTTATTGCTTTTGTTGTGTCAGCTTTAGTTTAGAGGTGCCGTCACTGATTCCAACTGCTTCTCTTTTTTTGTTGTTTTTAAAATTTTCCGTTTTTGAGCCTGTCATCTACTTTGTATCTTTGTGTTGCTTTTTTTGGTCGTCATCGTTCTACTTGTACTCTCCACTTTTGCTTCCACCATACATGTGAAAGTGTATACATGTGAAGCATTGTTCTGTGTTTGTTCGATTATGGTGCCTCTAATAAATTTAGCGCATCACAGTTTTGCATTAATACATAAGCAATTTAGCCGACCTTGAGTGCTGTGTGTGTGCGGCGTGTGCTTGTTAATGTGTCTTTTTTTGCCACTCTAGGAGAGGGAAAGGAGGAGGCAACATGTAATGCTAATGAAGGCTGTTGAGGCTCGCAAGAAAGCAGAGGTAGTCCATATGCACACAAATAAACGCAGAAACACACACACGCACATGGTCAGCGCCATAAAAAGGGCCAAAGTTATTATTCTCCTGATGGATTCACGCTTTCTCTCCTGTTTGTGCACACTTTCCCTTCATTCTTTTTTTAACCACACTCTTACCGAGTTAAAAGATTCTGGCCCTCCAGCACTTTTCCTCCGAATGCGCAGCAGTATTAGACTGAATTCCAACACTGCTCAGCAAAGTCGAGTAAAGCTTCTTGTCTGTTTTTGCACACATGAACGCACACACTCGCTTTGCTTTTCCTAATGCTCTCTTGAATTTTGGACTCTCTAGGAGCGGGAGCGCTTGCGGCAGGAGAAAAGGGATGAGAAGCGCTTGAACAAAGAGCGAAAACTGGAGCAGCGAAGGCTGGAGCTGGAGATAGCGAGGGAGCTGAAGAAGCCAAATGAAGACATGTGTCTGTCTGACCATAAGGTAGATTATTAGTGTAATTATTAGTGGGAGTACCACTGGTTGTACTGGTGAAAGTGAAGTTCTTTGTTAAACTCTTTCTTGAGGCCAAAACAAGATCACATGCTTCTGAATATTTGGAAATGTGCACCCCCAAGTGGTTAAAGACCAGCATCACAAATAAAAAAACATCATTTTCAATATTTTTCTGCCCTTTTTATTATCATTTCATTATTCCTGCTTATCTCAGGTGCATTTTAATTTCTCAGTAAAATGTTAAATCCCAACAGTGACCGTTATCTGTTTGTCTGCTCTTTTTCTGTGCAGCCCCTCCCAGAGTTTTCCAGGATTCCTGGACTCATCCTCCCAGGACGTGCCGTGTCAGACTGCCTGATGCTGATGCAGTTCTTACGAGGCTTCGGAAAAGTTTTAGGACTTGACTTGAATGCGGATGTCCCCACGCTGGGAATGCTGCAGGAGGGCTTGCTCAATGTGGGGGACAGCATGGGCCAAGTTCAAGACCTTTTAGTCAAACTGCTGTCTCTTGCTGTCTGCGATCCCGGTTTGCCACCTGGACACAAGGTGAGCTACATGCACACCATGAAAGGAAAAACCAGCATAATTAAAGGCAAAACATTAAATGCACAAACGCAACAATTAAAGAGCAGGTTAATAAAAGAGCCACTCAGATCTGTGTCACGCTAAAAATGAACGTTCATGAACTCACCCTGCTAGGTTCACGACAGGAAAGGCTGCTGTTAGTGACCGGGAGAAATCAGAGATCTAACCACGTGATCGACTCACAACATGTTGCTTCACACTAGAGACCATTGTTAAAATACTGAAATTAGTGAATAGGAGCATTAAGATCAGATCACAACAAAACTGCAAAGATGACAAAAATGTTTAGTGTCTTTAAATTAGAATATAAGCTTAATTATTCAATGTCTTTCTTTTTCTCAATCAGACCAAAACAATGCTGGGAGACCACTTGACCAATGTCGGCATCAACAGAGATAACGTATCTGAGGTGCTGCAGATGTATATGAGTTCCCATTGTGCCAACACAGACCTGGCTCCTCTGGCCCTCAGTCTCAAGACCAAAGCCTTCCAGGCTCACACACCTGCTCAGAAGGCATCAATCCTGGGGTTCCTGGCTAATGAGCTGGCCTGCAGCAAAGCTGTGATCAGGTAGGAGCAACAGCTAAATGTACTCTGCTTGGTTCAAAAGGGCATGACACAACTTTTGCTTCCTACTGGAGTCAAATAAATAAAGAGAAATATGAATCCACTGCTTCTGTTCCTTTATAGGACTTAATGCTCTGGTTATTTGTCAAGTAATAATTGTATATTTTATTTGTGCCACAGAAAACAATCAATAAAGCTGAAGTTCTTCTCTGAGAATTATACATGTAATCATTCGCGCTCACAGGCGCCAGCTATTTTTCCCTGTTGGTCATAAATAGCTTCCAGTCACATTGAGCTTTATTGTGCTGTGTTTATACTGTTCATGAGATCGGCAGAGGTCTGAATGAATACAAGTATGATTAACAGGTTTTCCTTTGCTGTTGCAGTGAGATCGACAAGAACCTGGATCAGATGGCAAACATGAGGAAAGACAAAATTATCATGGAGGGAAAACTGAAAAAGTGAGGGGTATTCCTTCTGAAAGGCACTTTAAAAAACCCGAGTCTGGCACTAAACCGCTGTGTGTCTACGCAGACTGAGGACCATTTATGCCAAACGAACCGGGAAAAGGGAGGCCAGCATGGGCGCGGAGGAGAACCAGTCCATCGGCACGCCGTCTTCTGCTGCCAAACGCAAGAGAAAGCTGGGTGCCGACAGCGATGATGACGACGATGATGATGACGACAGTGATGACCCAGCAGATGAGGACGACGACGAGGAGGAGGAAGAAATTAAAAAGGTTAAAAAAGTGGAGACTGTTGAGGAGGTAAAGTCCAAAACACACATATTATTAAATCCTCAAAACTGGCGTTTTTTTACTCTCAGACATTCTGTGATTATTTGTCCCATCAGGATGAAGTCGACCAGGCCACCAGCATCGAAGAGCTGGAGAAGCAAATAGAAAAATTAGCCAAGGTACACACTACTTCAGACTGTGACAAAGCTAATTACCATTAGTAACAAATAACACAGTTCTATCTCTGAGGGATCTATAAGAGTATTTAGATCTTTTTATTGTGTACGTTACATAAATGATGCTAATGAATGCATCAGGTAGACTAATAAATAACCTCAGTAGTAAGATGTGGCGATTGTTGTGTCACAGTTAAAACTAAGGACCTTTTGTTCTGTAGGAGCCTTTTACAATCAGTATGGTTGTTTTTTATCATTCCAGCAACATCATCAGACCAGAAAAAAGCTCTTTGAGATCTCTCATTCTCTTCGCTCCATGATGTACGGACAGGACCGCTACCGCCGTCGGTACTGGGTTCTGCCACACTGCGGAGGAGTTTTCATTGAAGCCATGGAGAGTGGAGAAGGTGGAGTTGTTGAAATGTTCTCTAGAGTAAAAACACAAAAGATGTTCAGAGTGATGATGGCTGATTGTTCTTCTTTTGTTAATTATTTTGGCCGTGATACCTGTTGATATTTTTGTGAGAAATTTTAGAATTTTTTTTTGTTGCAAACGCTGTTTTAATGCCACAGTTGTTGGTTTTGTTCCTGGCAGCTCCAGAGGAACTGGAAGAGGAGCGACAGAGGAGGAGAAGAGCTGCGGAGGAGTTCAAGGTAAAAGAGGAACCCCAGGAGATTGGACTGCACAAGGAGAAATCTGCCAGCCTTGATGGACAGAACATTCGAACACAAAGCTTGGAGCAACAGAAGGAAGATAAAAAGGAACAGGGTGGGAAGAAAAACTCCCAGTCTGTTTTCTACCAACAGTCCAGCTGTGTTTCCAAACTGTGCATGCGCCGTGATGTCGGCAAAAACTTTAAGACGGAGGACAAGGAGAGTCCATGTGTGAGACTAAACAGCAGCCCCATGGGCACTTCCATCACCTCCACCACTGGAACATCCTCCTCCCCCAGTCACAACACTCCTGAACCAGCAGCAGCATCAACTCCTTCTATGGTGATCACTAATCACACTACAAACATCCCTCCTCCCGCTTCAACCTCTTTATCGTTTCCCTGTCTGACGGCTCCACGGGAAAGCCCGGGAAACACTCCTCCGACCTCATCCCCCGCTCCGTCTCCACACCTCTCATTCCAAGCCAGCGACCAGCTGCTCAGAGTCCTTACAGAGAGGAGTGGCCACTGGTTCAGTTTGCTTCCGCGCAACCCCTGTGATCTCTCCTCCATCACTAGTACTCCCCCAGGAGTTCCTCGTGGCTCCCCTCAGGCGTCCTCCACCCCAGGCAGGCCCAGGTCTCCGCCTCCATCCCCCGCCTTACCTCTCACACCTTCCGCTGCTTCTGCATCAGCCAGCCCACACCACCCAGCTGGCCTCCTCAACTATCCTCTCTCTGCCCTGCAGGTGAGACTCAGCAGCTGGGATCGACACAAAGCTGCTATTTTATTTCTCCTAGATCAATCTTCAATCCATTCCTCCTCTTTATCTCTCCAGTTGAAGTCAGGTGCCTCCTTGCTCGGGGTTTCTTTTGGAAGCTGGCCTAGCGGTGTGATAAGTCCCAGCCTGCCTCTGTGCAGCAGCCCCAGCCCCATGCCAGGTCACTCCCTAGAAGGCAACACAGCGGCGAGCGTCTCCAGTAAGAGTGAGTCACCTTTACCTCGCATCGAGAAAAGCTCGTCCATGCCCTCCCCCGCCTTGGAGATGCCAAAGTCCATCGACTACTCTGTGCCTCGGCCCATCCCAGAGGGTAGGTGGTTAACGGTGTTGGGAGAAAGTAAAGTACCATCAGTAAAATGTTTCTCCTAAAAACGCTGATGTATGTTTAAATGCACTCTAGCTGACGTGCCTGTTGCCGTTTTTCTTCTCAGATTTGCTGACAGGTTGGTGGCGGGTGTCTCACATCGAACAGCTGAGGTCTCTGGTCGACTCGCTCCACAGCCGAGGAATCCGAGAGAAGGTCCTCCACCGGCAGATTCAGAAGTATCTGGAGATAATTCCTCAGGTCTGCACCAAACACAAAGATGGTAAATAACACGGTTTACTCTGCTTTCAATTGGCATGCTGATAATTATCCCTCTTTATCATTTAAGTTGAAAGTCCACCTGCAGAGTCAACCAATGCCAGACTGACAGCTGTCATGTTTTTCATCTAGTAGCCATGATTGAGCTCCATGAGCTGGAGGAGAGTCAGGTCAGTGTGGAGTCTGTGCGCGGGTGGTGTGTGGAGGAGCAGGCCATGGAAATGGATATCGCTATGCTGCAGCAGGTTGAGGAGCTAGAGAGGAAGGTCACGGCAGCCAGTCTGCAGGTCAAGGTGAATAGCGATCAAGACCGGAGCACTAATCTGTTTTCACGTGTTCAGTAGCATCCCAGCTAACGTTGTCAAACTGCTTGTTTTCATCTCAGGGCTGGACATATGTGGACCCTCAGTCTGAGCGGGAGGACCTGGTCTACTACGAGCACAAGCCCCCCACCAAATCAGCACCAGCCTCAGCAAGCGCAGCAGACAAGGACTCCCGGGACTCCAAGGAGCATCTAGAGGAGCGCGGGGAGAAGGGCGGGGTGATGCGTCACCCAGACAACCCTCTGGACATAGCAGTGACACGTCTGGCTGATCTGGAGCGCAACATCGAGAGAAGGTACCTGAGGAGCCCCTTAGGTACCACCATTCAGATCAGGCTGGATAATGTGGGTACGGTCACTGTCCCTGCCCCCGCCCCATCCACTAGTGCTGACAGGGAAGGGTAGGTCATCTCTCCAACCAAAGCTCCCACTGTCCCACTAAGACCCCTTCTCCCTCTGTGTGTGCTTCATGTTTCCTATAAGACACGGGTCTTTGCTGCTTTCAGCACCTTTTGTGGTGGCTTGTCACATTTGTGTTGTCATTTTTTTGGTCTTGTGCCGTTTTCTTGGGTGTTGGGGGGGGGGGGCTCCATTCAGTTCCAGTTTCAGTTTTTTTTCCTCCAGTCATCTGCATGGTGTTGTGCCTCTGTAACCTCAGTTATAAACATACCTCTAATACACAGTTTAGACTTATGCTTTCTGCATGAGCACCCCCCTACCGTAATAAAACTGGTTTGTACTCCTCCCCAGCACCCCTACACCCCTCAATCCTCATGCCTGTTTCTGCACAACTAGAACTCTGAGTGGTCTGCTGTTTTGCTGGCAACTTTTCAACTGATACCAAACACTTATGTTTAAATAATCCCACATATTATGTGAGTTGGCGTCCCTTTATTCTTTTCTTGTCATCTTGTCCTTTCTCAGTGGCGAGGAGGAGGTGGCCCACGGTATGAAGGTGTGGAGGAAGGCCCTGACTGAGGTGCGCAGTGCCGCCCAGCTGGCCATGTGCATCCAGCAGCTGCAGAAGTCTATCGCTTGGGAGAGATCCATCATGAAAGTGGTAGGAAAACGTTCCAGTCTAAGCATAAACGTTTATCAGGGATTGTATGTTTGCTTTAATGGACAGAGCTTTTTTTTTTTTTTTAGTACTGTCAGATTTGCAAAAAGGGAGATAATGAGGACCTCCTCCTGTTGTGTGATGGCTGTGACAAAGGGTGTCACACCTACTGTCACAAACCCAAAATCACCAGCATCCCAGAAGGAGACTGGTACTGTCCAGCCTGCATCTCCTCGGTAACTAAAGCTTTTTTTATATTCACTCTCACTAGCAGGAATAAAATCAGCCTTTTGTCAAATAACTGTTGCTTTTTTCTTTAATTCAGGCAATAATTATTAATAAAACTACCTCCATCTGTGTTTACTTCAAATCCAATAAGTTAAAAGTTTAGGAATTCTTCAAAAACACTAATAATTATTACTGTGTGTATTATTTGACTTTTAACTCATTGTTTAATTTTCCAGGCGAGCGGTCCGTCCCCGAAGAGCAAAAAGCCTCCAGCTAAACCAGTCACTTCGAGTGGAGGGGGAGGTAAAAAAGGGGGGGAGACCAAAAAGAACGGGAAGCAAACGGGTAACGGGGAAGCGTCAGAGGAGGATTCGGCCAGTGCCACCAGCACACCCAAGAAAGGAGTAAAAGACACAAGCAGGAAGAGGAAAACCGAGGATAGCTCACCTGCTCTGACACCGGCCAATCAGGAGAGCCCAGTGTGTGTTAAGCGAGCCAAGACAGCAAGGGACAACAACAGGGACCTGGGATTGTGCAGGTGTGTGTCTCTGGGATTATTGTTGAGTTTTTCTTTTTTGTGTTTTATTTAACCATCAAGAATTACAGCAGATACATTTTATACATACATACTTAAAAAACTGAAAACACAAAAGTTCGCTGTAAAGAAAACTCCAGCAGTAGCTTAAAGTTTCTGTGTGTCATTAGAGTGCTTCTGGCAGAGTTGGAGCGGCATCAGGATGCATGGCCGTTCCTCACTCCTGTCAACCTGAAGTCAGTCCCCGGCTACAAGAAGGTCATCAAGAAGCCCATGGACTTCTCCACCATACGTGAGAAGCTTGTTAGCAGCCAGTGAGTTCTCGTCGCTTCTGTTTTTCCTTTTTACTCCTAAAGCTTTCAGGGCTTTTAAATGTTTTAAACCCAGAGATGTTTCTCTTCTAGTGTGCTGCCTTAGCTGTGGGTACTTTATCATCAAAAAATCATTTCTTTCCTCTTATTTTTCAGGTATCAAAACCTGGAGACTTTCATCATTGACGTCAACTTGGTGTTTGATAACTGTGAAAAGTTCAATGAAGACAATTCAGACATTGGTCGAGCCGGTCATAACATGAGGAAGTTCTTTGAGAAGCGCTGGACTGAGCTTCTGAAACAAACTTAACAAACTTAAAAAAAAAAAAAAAACACTTCCCATTACCAGATTCAGCTTTTCACACACCGGAGTCTTCTGACGGAGTTTGTGGCTTTGCAGGATGGAAGAAGTCAGCTCCTTGATAAGGAATCCATTGTTGGTGAAACAGAAAAATCACACTGAAAAAAAAAAAAGTTGTTACATGAGGTGCGTTGGATTTATTACAACAGGGATAAAAGCCCCAAAGAGTCCCAGAAAAATGGGGTGTCCTAGTGCAATACCATTCCCTGTCTCAGAACACTGCACTGAATGAATCCTCAAATGTCACTGATGTGTCTGCGCTAGAATACTTTCCACTACCTGTAAATAGTCTTTTGTTATTTAATCGTATTATAGTGAATGTATTTAATTTTGTAATAATTATTTATGAATCAAGGTCCACTTCATTTTCTATGAAAAGGAGGAATCATCTAAACTGCTTTGAATTTAAGAAAAACAAACAAAAAAAGGAATGTGTGTTTTGTGTTTTAATTTTTCTCCCAAATATCACAAACAAAGCCAAGAAAAAATAGAAAAAAAAACCCAAATCTGTTTACACTGATCAGTGCTTTGGGGCATCAGAGAACTGTATTCATTTGTTTATTTACAGAAGCAACAGTGGAACAGTTCAGCGACGACGGCCCATGTGTATATACTGTTTATTAATGTCGATATTACGTCTTGTTTGGAACGATGTGTAAAAATTGTTTAAGAATATTAAGATATTGTTTATGCCTTAGAATGACTGTAGCATTCTATTTTAGTGAACGTGATGAGAACATTATCATAAATATTGTTTGTACAGTATATACATATCCTCTGCAAACACTGTGGTATCCTTAATCTTGGTAGTGCCTACCCTTCCAACAGGGGCATGTAGGGGATGTTGTTGTTTTTAGTTTTCATTCTTATGGCAATTTTTTTATATATAATTTCAATTCAGCAGGGCCTCCAAAGTTGGACAATGACACAGAAACCATTCCTCACCATAGCTGAAACAAAAGGAACAACAAGCATTGGGCGACGCTTCCACGATGCATTTCCTCGTAATCCGCCACAATACAGAGGACCTAAGGCCATTTGTAACCACTGTGTTGAACCTTTCTGTGTGTTGTGGCCTGATGGAGGCAGCTAGATTTTTTTGTACCCAAGTCAAAAGTACTTGAAGTTACTTTATTTAAGATATTGTGGAATAAAAGTATCATTCTTTTGTAGGAGCTTTATTTTTCACTAGTGTGTGGCACGGACCTATTAAAAGGATGTTTTTCAATGTAAGCGTCTTAAAACTGTTTTATTTTTCTACAAATGATGTTTTAAAAGGTGTTTTGTGGATAATTGAATCAGTCTTTAAATAGAAATGTAGCTTTTATTAATGTCATTTCATTTTGTTTTCTCTTTTTTCCACTTGATTTAATCTGATCTGAACAGTTACAAAGACCAACGCTTAAACATTTAACATTTTATTGTAAAGGAGATAGGTCGGTGCTTTTGTTCACAGAATTTGAATAAATGTAACGTCACTTGGTTTTTACTCAGTAAACATCTCAACACACATTAGTGGGTTTCTCTGCTAAAAGTTAGGAAATAAATAATCCAGCCACAAAGATCTTTTAATATTTTGGTAATTAAATCTCTTCATAAGATCAAACTGCTTCTTACAGCCTAAAGGAGAAAAAGATGACACCTGAAAGCTGAACTGCAGCTAATAGGAATGTTTTGTTTCAGGATTGCCTTTGAAATTAGAATGGATTTCCCTAATTTGGGATGTAAACACGTGACACACAAATAAAATTGTGGACAGGGACACACCCTTGTACTTTGTTCAGCTTTAGAGAAAGAATATTTGCATATTATGACTCCATCTGTGCCACCATAATGAATAAAACACATTGACAGATTCTTAACTTGCAAACCTACTTTGTATGGAACACTGAATTTTAGACAATTTATCTAGTATAGTGGATAACTTAGATGCTATTTCTATGACAAAATAGTTCATGGATCTGAAAAAAATAAAAGCCAGATAAAATTGTTTCAACTGCAAATCTAGATTAAAAATTGCATTTGTGCAGCTTATTTGTTTGGATCAGTGTTGTGGTTTCTATATGTGTTGGTCTTTGCGGGCGACACCATCTTGTGGTGACTTGAAGACATGGCAACTTAAGCAGAAGCTGTGGTTGGCTTTTTATAAACTATGCTGATTTTATAGAGGTCCTTCTCAAAAAATTTGCATATTGTGATAAAGTTCATTATTTTCCCGTAATGTACTGATAAACATTAGACTTTCATATATATTGGACTCATTACACACAACTGAAGTAGTTCAAGCCTTTTATTGTTTCTAATATTGATGATTTTGGTATACAGCTCATGAAAACCCAAAATTCCTATCTCAAAAAATTAGTATATCATGAAAAGGTTCTCTATACGAGCTATTAACCTAATCATCTGAATCAACTAATTAACTCTTTAAACACTGCAAAAGATTCCTGAGGCTTTTAAAAACTCCCAGCCTGGTTCATTACTGAAAACCGCAATCATGGGTAAGACTGCCGACCTGACTGCTGTCCAGAAGGCCATCATTGACACCCTCAAGCAAGGACGTAATTTTCACTTTAGAAGTGGGGGGGACACGGGTGGGGTATCTTTACAATATGTTCTAAGGGGAAACAGGCTTCAACACAAACGGTTGCTTTCCGCTTGGTCCTAGAGCTCAACCAGTGTCAATTTAATAAAGCGTAATATTGTTTTTGGATGGTAAAAAGTGCAGGGGTCAAAACTTGACTTTGGAAAAAGTGGGGGGGGACATGTCCCCCCCCCCCCCCCCCCAAAAAAAAATTACGTCCATGCCCTCAAGCAAGAGGGTAAGACACAGAAAGAAATTTCTGAACGAATAGGCTGTTCCCAGAGTGCTGTTTCAAGGCACCTCAGTGGGAAGTCTGGGGGAAGGAAAAAGTGTGGCAGAAAACGCTGCTCAACGAGGTGACCGGACCCTGAGAAAGATTGTAGAGAAGGACCGATTCCAGATCTTGGGGGACCTGCGGAAGCAGTGGACTGAGTCTGGAGTATCCAGAGCCACCATATACAGGAAATGGGCTACACGTGCCGCATTCCCCAGGTCAAGCCACTTATGAAACAGAAACAGCAGCAGAAGCACCTGACCTGGGCTACAGAGAAGCAGCACTGGACTGTTGCTCAGTCGCCCAAAGTACTTTTTTCGGATGAAAGCAAATTTTGCATGTCATTCTGAAATCAAGGTGCCAGAGTCTGGAGGAAGACTGGGCAGAGGTAAATGCCAAAACGCCTGATGTCCAATTACCCACAGTCAGTGATGGTCTGCGGTGCCATGTCAGCCGCTGGTGTTGGACCACCGTGTTTTATCAAGGGCAGGGTAAATGCAGCTAGCTATCAGGAGATTTTGGAGCACTTCATGCTTCCATCTGCTGAAAAGCTTTATGGAGATGAAGATTTAATTATTCAGCATGACCTGGCACCTGCTCACAGTGCCAAACCCACTGGTAAATGGTTTACTGACCATGGTATTACTGTGCTCAATGGGCCTGCCAACTCTCCTGACCTGAACCCCATAGAGAATCTGTGGGATATTGTGAAGAGAAAGTTGAGAGACGCAAGACCCAACACTCTGGATGAGCTTAAGGCCGCTATCGAAGCATCCTGGGCTTCCATAACCTCAGCAGTGCCACAGGCTGATTGCCACCATGCCACGCCGCATTGAAGCAGTCATTTCTGCAAAAGGATTCCCGACCAAGTATTGAGTGCATAACTGATTATTTGAAGATTGACCATTTGTATTAACACTTTTATTGGTCGGAAGAAATATGCTTATTTTTTAGATAAGAATTTAGGGCTTTCATGAGCTGTATGCCAAAATCAATATTAGAAACAAAAGGCTTGAACTACTTCAGTTTTATGTAATGAAATATTTGAGCATGTTTTCAGTAATTACAGAAAATAAACCATTACAATAAGCTACTTTCTTGAGGACTAGTAGTAAAAGGTTTTTTCATACATTCTGAGTTTATCCAATGAAAATAAGAGAACTAGTCTTCCATTCATTTTTATAGACGTTCCAGAAACATAACACAGGATGACTTCGAGTCTGAACACAAGGTGGTAAAATGGTGTCATTAAACACCTACTTCAGCTTTGAGTGTACAAGGAAGTGTTTGCTGTAAACCAAGATCAAAGTAGCATCAAATACTTTAGTTCATTTTCCTGAATGCTAATATAAGGAAACTCCCAACACTGACCTAACTGTAAAAAATATTTCAAGTTGAAGCCTAAACAAAAACTACCACAGTCAAGGTTTTCAAATGTTTATTTCAGGACAAATTGTGAAAATAAACTTTCCAGGAATCAGGAGTCTTAATTGGGCGTGATCACCTGCATGAAAAAAAGAGAACACTTAACAGTGCAGCACAAACCAGGTACAGAAAGCACTGCAACTGCTGCACACATCTGATGTTACAGAAATACACTAAAAACTGGCATGCATTTAATCATAGGCGTCATTTTAACCGGGGACGCTGGGGACATGTCCCCGGCAAAATTCGTGATCGGCAGCTGTGTCCCCCCCCCCCCACACTTTCAAAAAAGCCTGCTGATGAGGACTTTTGTTTTACCTGCTCAGATCTTATACCAGGGGTCGGTAACCTGTTCCCATCAAAGAGCCATTATTACCCATTTCCCACGGTAAAGAAAACACCGCAGCAGCCGCAGCGTTGCGGGCGGGGCCTACCCTCAGACAGCAGAGCGCTGCTCACAACAGGTGACAGCAGCCGGGAGCATCGCACCCGTGGGGGATTCAACACCCTCACTTTTCCAGCTGTTTTGCTCACCTCCACACCAGTCTGGTTTCTTTACGTCGCACTCACTCTGTTTGCCTCATCTCCTTCTTCACCTCCCAGCCGATGTCGGGTTTCCAGGAGAGCAGGAGAGGGAGGGACGGAAGAGCTCGACTGAATTCATAATTTTACATCTTGAATTTAGCTGTACAAAGTCTGAGTTTGATAAAGTGAAGAACAACAATTTGCAGAGGTTTATAACTGGCGCGGCGCCAGGTTTTCATTTTTGGGTGGGCCACGGTAATTTTGGACGGACCTTAATAAGCAGTGACTTAGTGAAGCAGGCAGGTCGCGCTAGAAAATTTAGTTTAAAAAGACGTCATAAATGTTTTCCCCCGTCATTTTTATTTCTAAAATATGAAGTAAAAACTCACAATTTAATTTTCATTCATTTGTCATTAATATTTAGTCTACAACCGTGCGTTAAGTGGACCAACTTCCAGTAAACGCAAAGCATCCAGTCCACCTCTCCAAATGCGTAAAATGTGCATCAGCCGCTAGGCGTGCCGCGCGCACCGTCAGCTGATCAGCCCAGACAAAAGCAGAGCAAATAGAGAAAGAATAGAGGATGATTGTGTCTGGATGTGGATGGAGATTACATTTTACATCAGCCTGATCATCATTTAAATACGTAAACCATCACCTGTCTCCTATCCACGCTATCAGCATTATTTTAATTGGTGTGTGTGTGTGTGTGTTTTCCACTTCAAACACTGGTCTAACCAACCAGACCAGCGTGTCCAGTAACACATTAATGTTACAATTAAACTTGATTAACCCCAGAGCCATGCGCACTGCACTGTACTGACTGTAAATGAGGGGGAAACTATTTAATCGGATCCTTTACTTTTCAACATGGTTTAATGTAAAGTTTCATTCAGTACAAACTTTAGTTACACCAATCTAACGAGACAGAGCCTAGATTTGTATTCTGAACAGTTTAAACATGTTTGAAACGGAGACGTGCGTGACGCGTCTAAAATTCGCACCTGCTCCGCTATTACGGAAATTAAACTAACAAGATGAATAACATGAAATTATTTTAGGCACAGACAACATCCCCCACACTTTTGAAAAGCTTGCAACGCGCCTGATCGCTCATGTACGTCTTAATTATCTTTCATTAGACGATAATCAATAAAACAATTTATATAAAGTGGATCCAGAAGTAGTAGCCCGTCTCTGCCTTCAATTTTTGGTATTTTTCACCCTGTTGATGGTTTTACTGAGCAGGTGCCACTTTTGTCCTATGTTTCTTTTTAAAACATGTTTAGACTGTTCAGAATACAAATCCAGGCTCTGTCACGTTTGATTGTTGTAATTAAACTTTGTAGGTGGGGATGATCAGAAAGCAGCTCAGAAGCGCCGATATGATTACGCACAAGCGTGACGCATCAACCCGGTCTCACAGTAAGACCGGGTTGGAACTGTTCAGGTTTACGCAGACAATCTTTACATTTAGAATTAGCTTACAGATGTAAAATTAATGCAGTAAAATATAAAGCTTTTTATTTAAATATCCATTCATTATTTCACAAGCACAGAGAGCCGCATCAGAAGGATGGAAGAGCCGCATGCGGTTCCAGAGCCGCCGACCCCTGTGCTAGCCTACTTTATTGTCCCCAGCAATTTTTAAACCCCACTCAAGTGTATGGTTTTTGTCCCCAGCAATTCTGAAAACAAACTGACGCCCTTGCATTTAATACATTAAAAAGCATTCCTGCATTAAAAATAAAATCACAATTTCTGCAAATAATTGTTTTCCACATTCTTATCTGTGCTGCTATGATATTCAGCAGTCAGAAAGCACGAGGAAGGCTCAGTTTAGCATCTTTGCGCAAACCAAGAAGCCAACAATGTCTGCTTCTGGTCTATCAGTGGATGCAAAGTCCATTTTATCTGAAGACAAATGACTCACCTGCATTCTCTGTGCTGCAGAAATATCCTTTCAGATGCCGTCCCCTGAAAAATTGTCACTAAAAAAAAGACAGCAATATTAATATTTTGAAATGACAAACACATAAATGCATTGTGTTTAAATTGTTCTCCCCTATTCAAACTGAGAAGCCACTGAAAGAGGCAAAACAGAAAGCACGAGGACATTTAATGTTGCATCTGCAGAAATAAACCCAGATCATCCCACAGCAGAGAGCCCAGGCTGTCAAAGATGCAGCTTGGGACCAGGTGAGTCCCGATTAAAATAGAAGCTAGTGCACACACACACACAGTCTGAGCTTACTTCATACACAGATGTGCACTGAAGCTCAAGCACAGCAGTCATCCACAGACCGCATAGTCTAAAAAAACACAAAGTGGATATTTGGGGTTTTTGAGCTAGTTTAAAAACTCAACGTGTAGCTAAAGCAGATCTACTCAATTAGAAAGATCAGATTCTAATTACTTACATGGTTTTTACATCGTTACACATGGCTAGCTCTGGCTAACACGGAGAATATCCGGTAGTAGGCTAACTCACCTGGTCAGAGCTGTTTAATCTCCATAAACTGACTTGATCCACACCCTCAAATTTATTCAAGCCTCATTGCACGATTCGTTTAAATCAACAAACGAACCAGACTAGTTTAAAACAGTCTCGGGAAGTAGTTCTGAGTGATTAAGCTAACACGTGTTCAATGGCTAAAGGCAAGTCATAAAACTACGTGTGCTCGGCATTATCCATGTTAAGCCCTTATCTAAAAAGGTGAAAACTATGATACATACGTACATGATGCTGTGACATCGAAGGGAATGACGCTATAAAACTAAAGCATTGCACATCGAAGTAAACGAACTCCTCACCAATGAGTCTGACGAGTGAAAGGCTGCTACATGGTTAGCTTACACCTTATATAAGTTACCATTGTGGCTCTTTAGCGCCCCTTGAGGACAAAAAAAAACGTGACTCTACTGCCCCCTAGTGTTCAAATGATGACTTATCCAACTGGTTTCCTTGCCCTGTTTTTTAAAATATGTGTATTTATTTATCTTAATATCTATTTATTTATTTGTTTGTTTATTTATTTATTTATTTATTTATTTATTTATGACTAACATACTTTATTTTAACAACTTTATCGGCATCAGTGCTGTAATAACTTCTACAATTATAACTTACACATTACTTTTTCTCAGCTTATACATGCAATAATTTATTGAAGGCTACATGTCTATTTTTTAATGAACGGGTAAGAAATAAACAATCTGCACTCTTTTAATCATCTTAAACTTTTAAAACTATTTTAACATCTTCAGTATCCTGCTATGCTTACACATTATGTGTGCGCCTATATAAACAACTGTATTGTACTCTGCTCTGGTAACTATTGTCCATGATGTAAATAAGTAATAACTGTGCTTCTGTTCTGTGTCCTGCATTGTTTGTATATGTGTGATGTTGCTGCTGACACAACCAAATTTCCCCTTGTGGGACTATTAAAGGATTATTCTATTCTATTCTATGGATTTTTAAAATAAAATCTTACTTTAATAAAATTACATCACATTAACGTTTGTATGCCTGCCTAATAATGATCATTACATGCTTCAGGTTAACACATGAAAGCAACTAAAAGAATGAAATCACTGGGGATACGTCAGTTTATAGATCACGAGGCAAACATGCACGAGCAGGAGACCCGCGCGCGCCTCTTTTCATCTTATATCCGAGTGCAGCCCAGCCGCGTACTTCTTAATTGTAAACGGCGAGTGCAAGTTCTCTCATCAGCTTCCTGTGGATTTATGTGAAGACATGCAGGCATCAAAGGAGACTTAAGTACAGGTAACCCGAGCTTTTATTTTAGGAAGACATTTTTTCCTTTTACACCACAGTTTTAGCTCCAGTAATTAGTGTAAAGAATGTTTAAAAACACCGTTGTTGTCTCAAAAACAGAACCACTGTTCGGTTGTTGCAGGAGGACGTTTTTAGCTTCAATTCTGCATTTTTGAATTTGCTTTCTTAGGCGAAGAAACATCAAATATGTTCAAAGCAGTCTTTGGAAGCAAGAAGGAGGGAGGAGGAAAACGAGGGGACAAAAAGAGACAGAAACATGCAGGTGAGCTTTGTGTTCCTACAGAAACATGCAGGTGAGCTTTGTGTTCCTTCTTATTCTTCTGCAGGATTTCTATCCAAGTTCACTATTTATTCCAATAATTTTGTTGTTTTTCTCTTTAGTCATTTGCATCACTGTAAAAGTTTATTTAAAGTGTCCATTCTGCCTTGCATCACAGAAATAAATGCAAACTAAAACAGACCAAGTAAGTGTATGTTTAAGGTCTTGTTTTATTTGGTGATAATAATACTCTAGCTCCCTTCCTCCTGGGTGAGATAAGTAGAGCCATTTCAATTAGCCCAATTCATCATCAGTGTGTTCCGTCCTTCACTCAGCCTCCCGCTGCTTGGGTTTTAAGTGTGTCAGGCAAAGTTAGAGTGTGTTGAGAAAACATCCTGCCCTACTAAACATTAAAATTCAAAAGAATGCGTGAGTGGGTTATAAATAAATGAGACCAGGATCTGCTGCGTGAACATGATGAATGTTTTTGTCAGAGAATCCACCCTACAGTCCCCGTCTTAGGCTGGCTCTGCTTTGTATTTCTCACAAGGTGATCTTGTCAGCTTGCTGTTGCACGGAGAAGATCTCAGCTCGTGCAGCAGCGGAAATACATGAACATAAGTGGAGCTCGGCATTGAAGCAACCATGTTACTTATTAATGTTTAATGATGTGCTGCAGAACAGAGAGGAGGACGGAGAACTGTGTCAGTCTCATCAAACTCCTCCACTGTGTTTACAGTGGATTGGCTCGTGCCATTTGGAGAGAGATTCCCCATCTTCTCTTGTAAATTAATGATTTTTAAACTGCTAATTGTTTTAACACGTGCAAAAAATAGGCTCATTCATAGGAGGGAATGAAAAACTTAACTGAAAACTACAGGGCAAACCGCACTGGTCTCCTGCAGTCTTTATGGGTTGCAGAGAGTCTTTCATTTGTTGCGTAACGTCATTTTGAGTGCTCAGGATCAGGCTTAATCGCTATAATTGCAATAAACATTAAAGTGAAACTTTGAATAGCAATGCAATTTAGGTCATGCCCAATGAGTCCAGTGCCATTCCTTTTAATATATGTTCTGATATTACTTCCCATTACCTCACACAGAAACATGCCTCCTAGGCAAGAATGTTCGCTCTGTTTCAGCTTTTAGTGACACACATTTTATCGTTTATGAGCTCGGCTGAATCAAAACCTACTCCTCCTAGTCTTTTCTCTTCTACTGTTTGCAGGCGGTGAAGCATACACCCCCAGCACCCTGCAAAAGGGTAACGGCCAGAGGTTTGCCCATGTCCACAGCCGTAACAGCGGCACCCCCAGAAAAGTGAAGAGACTGACCAAGGGCGTGTCCGTCTCGCTACCGTCCTCCCCCATCCTCCCTCGACAGACTGACATAGCATCCTCTCAGTCTTGCCTCAGATTTCCAGGTGGGTTACGTTACGATCTAAACGAAGTGACAAGAAGCACAAGGGAAAAGCTGTGAAGAGGGCAGAACGCTTGCCTTGATTAGCAGAGAGCTCATACACTTGACAGAAAACTACACAGACTGGGTCCTCTGGGCCCAAAAACACCAGACAGATTGTCAAAGTAAATAATTAAGCAAAATAACTAAAGGCTATAGGAGCCTGTATTATAGTAGAACAGCAGTGGAGTTTTCATTGAGTATTAAAATGTTAAAATTTATATAAAAATTATTAATAAGAAGTCACGATCAAAGGCTAAATTGATGAAATGTTAACTTTGACCAGTTTAAAAGCATGTGTATTACTTGTGTTGTTGGTTATAGCGCTAGCGAACTAGGAGCAGCTTTGGAAACTGCTTGTTCTCATGTTGTCAAATAATTTCTCCCATTAAATAGTTAGAAACATATTAATCAATTTAAAAACCTTATTGCTACTCATTATAGAATTAAAGGGATACTAGGCAGTTGTGCTTGCTTTTAGCACCCTCTAGTGTCCATTAATAATTCACTGTGGTTAAACCGAAAATGAATTTTACCTCCTCACTGTGCTGTACACCTTAATCTAACTGCTGACGTGTCTCCTCAGCTTTCATTAGTTTCTATAAGGGTGACTAATCACTAAATCATGATTTAAAACATGCAGGTAATGTGCTGGAAGCAGACTCCAGCTCCACCATGTCAGCTTCACTCCACCAGCAGGGACCAGACCGGCACTACCGGAGTTGCAAGTGCGGTTTTCTGACCACAGGGGTCGTTTGGGTCTGAGTGACATTTCATTAACTGTGTAAAAAATCATCTTCGCACTTAGTGGCTCAAGAAAATGATTTTAAAATATGAAAAAGTTGTATAGTATGCCTTTAAAGTAAATGTGCTTTTTAGAAAGTTTGACATATTAAATTATATTTCTGTCCAGAAGCAGCTAAGGGATGTTGCGAGGTGTAAAATTTGACTCTCATGTTTAGTAAAAACGTAATATAAATACTCCAAAATCTGCAGGTAAAAGGAAGCAAAGCTTGCTCACCAGGGGTGTCTTACATAAGAACAAGCACAAGGTGGCAGTAGTGTGCAGTAAGTACTTCCAGTCATTAAAAAAAGGAAAAAGTCTTTATTACATTTCATTGCATGCCTCAATGCACTGCCTGAGCAAACACGACAGGAAAATTACAGCAAGTTAACATCCTTGCTGTCATTAAAAAGGAAATCAGAAGCAAGGCGCTAGTTTCCAGATGGTGTTTTTTAATCTACAGCATAACTCAGCCAAGGCTGCTTCAGATTACACCGTTTCAGTGTTTGCATCCTCTGAATGTTGTCCTCTTCTGAAGAACCTGCTTCAAACAGTCCTGAGACGTTGATGCATAATCTACGACACACCCACACACACATCCCAGCGCACCGATGACCTTACCACACGTTCACGCGTTACAGGCAGTTATATATGATAGATAGACGCCCACAGTGCAGTGAATATGGTTTGTATGTGTGGCTTGTTCTGTGGATATTCTGCTCTATACTCCTGGGACACAATTCAAATTCTGCACCGCAGTTCTCATCTGGGCAGACTTAATCTCTCTCATCCCCTCTCTCTCACTTTCTTTCATCCCTCCCTTTCTCCACCCTCCAATCCCTGCCTCCCACCCTGCGTGCTCTTCCTCCCTCTCCCTCCTGCCTCTTTGCCGTGGCCAAAGAACGGCTAAGGAAGCTGGAGTATGTGGACGGCTCTTCCAGAGCGAGAGAACCTCCTGTCTTTGCCTCGCGCCGTGGCAAGACAGACCACAGAGGTGAGAGCAGGAGCGTATGGGCGTGTCTGGCATCGTGTCTGGTTTTTTTTACAGGTATTAGACTCAAGCAGAGAGGATGAGGCTGAGGCAGGAGGATGAATGGGGTGAGGCAGAGGTGGAAGTGACACCCAGAAGGTAGATGATGACTGTTTTCCTGTTCTCTTTTGAGAGAGAGAGTTAGTTCAGTCTCCCGGGTTTTTTTTTTTTTTGCATGACTTCACTAAATGTTGCTTGTTCAGTTATGGTTTCATCAAAGCTGAAAAAATGGTCTAATTGCATCTCCTCCAGCTTGTCTCATTATTATTTTGTGTGAGTGTGTGTGTGTGTGAGTGTGTGTGTGTGTTTGGCCAGAGGGTTATCCTTAGGCTTAACAGATTTTATGAGACATCTCCCTTCCTTGTTGCCAGGCACCTCTCAGCTTCCCGTTACCATTGGCAACTGCCAGGTGGTTTGATGAACAGCACTGGACATTCAGAATGTCCTGATGCTACTCCAGATTGAATCTCAGGCCTCTGGTGACCAAAAACAAAGTTTTGTCTTTGAAAAACACGTCAGCAGGTTTAATATGAAAGCTGCCAATACAAAACGAAGACGATTAGACTCGTAGAACTAATCTGGGTCTTCTCTGCTGGGTTTACCTTTTTTTTCCCCAGCTCACTATTAATCACGCAGCATCTTTAAAGCAAGAGCCAGGATGGAAACAGACGAGTGAGAAATGAACACGGTGCTTAAACGAGAAGACGATTGTGAGGAGGAGTGAGCCGTTCCTGTAATCCGTTATGTCCCGTCATCGCCCCGTTTTGTTGCCTACTCGATATGCACGTTACTCCGCTGAGAACAGTACATGCATGAGGTGTGAGAACGTAGGCATGCGCCGCTGAAGCTCAGTGAGTTGAGAAAATGTCACGTTGCTGAAGTGAGCTTGGACTTTAGGGGATCGGGGGTCTAAGCATCAGGAATGAATCCAGCACGTAGCCTGAATCAGAGCTTCTCTTTCCACTACCCAGTTCATTGAAATTCACCACTGGTATCCTTACCAAAGCTCCTAGCAGACATATGCAGAGAGCAACTCACGATCTCCTGGTGCAGCTTCAACACCAGTTTCCCCTCCTGGTTGGTGCAATCGCGACTCTGCTGACCCATGGGTGCATTTATACGGTTCGGGAATGCAAGAGAACATCACAGGAAACGCTGAGCTGCACAGGGAGTGTGTGTTTTAACATTTAGTTTGCATTTAATGGCTGTGTCCTGAATTTGTGTGCCTGTCAGACCTCCACGTGGAGCCCCACCACGGCTCCTCCCTTTCTACCCAGGAGCTGATGACCAGACTATGTTTCTTACTGGGAGAAGCCACGACCAGCACTGCTAGCTCTCCTATGGAGGACAGGAGGGAAAAGAAGGTGGGACAAATGTTGAATTACACTACACCCCCAATCGAATCCTTTTTAAAGAACTACACAAAAAGAACAATGCTATGTTTGTAAAAGTAGCTTTGCACACTGTCCACGGCTGACTCGGTCATTGAAATAGCAATAAAACTAGCGATCGTTCTATAAATGCATACAAACTTATTCATTTAGAGATGTACAGACTACCTAAATTAATACCGTTTTGTCCAGTTACAGCCGGGGGGATCTGCATCAGTGTTCATTTGTTCGTTACGGCTTCACCTGAGAGTTAAAAACTCCAGTCACCTGTCCCGGATCTGGGGACCTCTAAACAAAGAGGAAGATTATCTGAAGGATGTTATTTTACTTCACTGGTTACATCATTTTAAAATCAGTTTTATAAAATGAAAACGTATAAAACCATCAAAACCGAGAACATTATACTCATCCTGCCATGTACTGTGGCACAGTTTTATAATTTCATCATATAATCTTTTATATTTTCGTATTTTTACAGCAATTCCACCGTTGAAAAAATGGGACCCAATGCCTCCCTGCTTGACACTCAGCAATAAGGGCTTGGATTGGGGGGTTAAACCACCAAATTTCCCGAGCGCGGCTGTGTCTGCAGCTCACCGCTCCCCTGGGTCAAATGTGGAGAACAAATGTCGCACACACATCAGTGTGTGAGACAACTAACGGGACTTTAACTTTATAATATTTTATATTCATTGTTCCACCCTAACTTTTTTTAAATAGCATAACTACCCAGTGGTTATGACATCCCATCATGCGTCCTCTCCACCTCCTCGCGTTTGCATTGCTCAGCCATGGCCCATTTTCTCAGCCTCATTCCACCACCTGAGCTCCAGATTCGGTCAGTTTTACAGCGATGGCATCGTTCGTGTGAAGGATGCGGGTTGCCCTGGCTACAGTGGATGAGGTTTTGGTTTAGAGGGAATAACGGTGAGCTGTTTAAACTCTGAGTTACAGAAATGTTGCATCAGTGATGGAACGCCAAACGCACGTGATTTAATAAAAAGATGAGAAACAGTCAGAAGGGAGTTTTTTTTAAACGTGTCAGTCTGGGATCACAGAGTCTGGAGATAAAGTACCACAGCCTCTGTTGATCAAATGCAAATACGAAAATGTTGATTTAGAAAAAAAAAGTTTGAATCTCTCTGGTTTTAGCTCCTAGTCTTGAGGAATTTTCTTCTTTATTCGTCTTTTTATGCTTAACTTCTCTCTGGATTTTACTTTGTTGTGCTGATTTAAGCCTGTGTGCTGTCGTTTATCATACCCTCGACTTATTCCAGACGGCTGTAGTGGCTGCATGGTGGAGCAATTGTAGCACTGCTGCCTTGCAGCAGGAAGGTTGCTGGCTCAAAACCGGGCTGTGGCCCCTCTTTGTGCTCAGCTAGCATGTCCTCCACATGCACATGTGGGTTTTCTCTGGGTACCCCAGTTTCATCCCACGAAGCAAAAACATGTTGTAAAATCAGCTTTACATAAAAGTTTCTGAAAAATAAATAAATAAAAGCTAGCAGGTGCTAGAGTAGGTGTGCATTTGTAATAAATGCCATCTTTCAGATAGTTTGATATTATAATATTATATTGTTATTAAACAATAACACAATTATATCTGTTGGGTTTTCTTTGCTAATGTCATCAGTACTGTGCATGCCAACAGTTGTGAGAACTTGACAGTGACATACGGAGAAAACTGCACATTTCTGCAGTAACTGATCTAGACTGAAGTCCAACCAGCCAGTTATCAAGAGAAAATGGGAAAATGACAGCCTGTATGAAAGTAACTGGATTTATCACCTTAGTTTCCATTTATGCGCCCTTTAACGTTCACAAGAACAACCTTGCATCAAGGCAAACTTGACCAGGTAGCGTGTAGTTGCGTTGAAAGGGCAACAGCAGACTGAGTTCATTAAAAATATATGTGAAAAAGAAGAAATCCACTCAAACGGAGACTGTTCATGCAGGATGAAGTGTTTTTCTTCTATTCTTCACATCTGGTTTCCCCCAAAGTCCTGCTCCTTCAGAGGCAGCTCACTCCAGCTTTAGGAGCAAAGAAACAAAATATGAAGTTACTCAAGCTTCAACGACTCTGATACCAAACTGTTCTATTTACATGATCATTTAATACGTGTCTTTATCTGCCATATTTCCTGTTATTATTTGTTATACTTTGGAGGAGTTTTTAACTCTTTCTTGTACAATAAAGCGTAAGCATTTCTAGCCGTTCTTTACAGGTGCTGAAGCACCTTAAAGTTTCAAGCTGGCTTATTTCTCCATATTAGAAAAATATTAAAACCTCAAAAATGGTTTGATCCCGTTCAGACCACACATTTGTGAAAAATGTGTTTTTCTTTTCTTTCACAAATATGGGAATAAAACTGTGTTAACCCTCTCAGGCTCAAATTAAATTTTGATAACAGGGCAAACAACAAAGTCCTTCAGGGGTACTTCTGAGTAAAAAAATGTTCATGAAACTTGAATGGGGACTAACCCGGTAGGTAGTTTTTAACTGTTGCGAATATGCAATGCCTGCCTCCAGAGGGTTAAATGTAGAAAACTGCTGTGCGTATTTTGCCTGGCCCATCTCTCTGGGTGCTCAGCATCGCCCCTGCAGTAAAGACTGATTAACTATTCTTTCCTCCTTCTGATCCATTAGTGTGACACTGTCTACGGGGGGAGTCCCAGCTCCACTCTGACCTGCAGCACCACCTCCCCCTGTTCAGAGAGCCCCACATCCACCCTGAGTACCAGCGCTGGAGGCCAGCCCTTACCCCAGTCTTTACCCTTATCATCTCCTCGCTGTGGCTCCGGATCCAGCCCCAGTGGAACCCTCTCCAGCCCGGGACGCAGTCCAGCACGCAGCCCCGTTCGTAGCCCCGCCCCATGTCCTACTTCTGGACTCATCTCTGCCAGCAGCCCTGGACCTCCATCCCAAAGCCCCAACTCAACCTTGGAGAGCAAAGATAGTGGAATTATAGGTGAGAGCTGCAGGTTTTTAATCTCTATATTTCAACATTTCCTGTGTGGATGTGACATTTACTACACTCAAACACAACTTGTTCTACCACCATTTATGACGAAGTAAATTAACAAAGTTTGTTATTAAAAGTGCACCCCAACCCCACCGATTCTTTCTCGCTTGTGCTGTTTCAGCCTTAAGGCTTCCGCTCCCTCCTGTCAAAACTGGGACACTGCTGTCTTTGTTGCATATGGGTCTGATTTTCTCAAAATAGGACACATTTTCCTCTTTAAATAGAGTTTTTATTTATAGTTGATTATAAAAGGCACATCAAGTACAATAAAACTCTCTGATCGAAGAGTCCATGTCTCATGGAGATTATTGTTGATTGAAGAAACGTGATTTGCACAGTTAGTTTTAACATCCAGACAATTGTAAGAGTTTACAAAAGCATGCAAGCTGTTCTTTGAATTAGATGGTTTATTTCTCAGCTATATTTAGCAATGGTTTCTTTGCAAACTTCAGCAACCATCACTAGTTCTTCTGAGAATGAAGAGCGCAGCACATCCAGTGAGGTTCTGACAAAGGAGGAGGGCCCGGGTGGCTGCACTGGCATCATGGGTCATGCAAGCGAGGACCAGCATGTTGGGCAAACCAGAGAGAGAGCCTTACCCAGAACAGAGATCATGGAGCCCAGGACTCCACCTGCACCCAAAAGACCCCTTCCTCAGCACCACCTGCATGGATCTTCCTCTCTTGTGATGCCTCGGCCAAACTCGGTGGCAGGTAACCTTTATTTTACAGAGTTTTGGTAAAAGTTTAACTTTATCCAAGTGAGAGTTTGCTAAGATTTACTAAACAACTAAAACCCCACCTCCCTGCAGCATAAAAAGCTCAATCATTAAGATGAATTTCTCGGAGGGGTGCCATTACCTCCAGGCTGCTGGTGCACCAGTAGGGACTCTAGAAAATCAAGAAGTCCCACACACACGAAACCAGTATGTGTCGTTTTCACACCCCCAACAATAAACAAACGAGGCATTATCAGCCAAAGCTTCCATTTTCCCCGTTGATGAAGTGGACTAATGAGAGCATGAATGTGGCAGCTGTGACCCCGGGTGATTAATTAATGGAGTGATTAATGCCCTCTGAATGGAGAATTGATTGGATTGATTGTTGGGTTGGTGTATTTTTGCTTCTCAGTTTGCATCGAAATACAGTGAAAGCATAATTTGCAGGATCTCTGCGGTGCAGAGCACCTCGCGCTGGTGCTCCACTTACCGCTGAAGCTGGATACACACAGTGAGCAGAGTCAGTTAAAAGTCCTGCGAGGCCTCCACTTGTCATGAAAGTACCCCCCCCCCCCCCCCCCCGCAGTCATGATCTTTGCTGGTGCACAAGGCTCTTTTTCTTCCCTTACATGTCAGTTCATTTGTGGTGGAAGCAAAAGACGAAACTCCCTAAGGAGTGGATTCACAGCAACGCCTGCCAGTTTCTTCTGTCAGCTGGTGCTTTCATTGGGGCACTTTTGATGAATTTCACAATAAAAGACACACAACGTTGGTACAAGAAGCGTACTTTGCAGTGATGAGGGGTTTGAACACACAGCAAATGCGAAACGTACATTATATTTTGTTTTATACGATTAGATGAAACTCTGAGTTATTCTCATAAATCCAATGTAACCATGAATGTGCTTTAGAAAACACGTGAAGCCGTGTGTGTGTGTGTGTGTGTGTGTGTGTGTGTGTGTGTGTGTGTAATTATGGAGCTGTTTAGATTTAAATTTTGCAATCAGGTCATGATATAAAGTCCAAAATGGATCGAGGCGAAGCAAACATATGTTCTCATTATTGTGCTCGTGGTCTGGAGTTATGGAAAGGATGCAAAGAAAAAGGAAATTCACTTGAGGCAACCATAAAGAAGTGCAGATTGTTGTAATATTTGCAGCAGAGTATACTGTGCTGCAAATATTTTTTATAATAAAAACCGAGTCTGAAACTGTTTAATATGTTTGTGAAAGTAATATAAACTGTGTGTTTTATTGCCCCCTTATAGGAGCTGTTTAGGCAGTATGAACAAGGAGTCAGAGGCTGGGGATGTGCTGCAGGTGCACTTTTCCTTGTGTTGTTTGTGTGGGGGATTAAAAAAAATCATTTTTAAAACACTATAATGATGTAGAGAATATCAGGCATCATGTTATAGTCCAGGTTTTCCTGATGTTTTAGTTGATTGGCACTGATGAGAAACATGGCTTTTATCTGGGCTTGGACATGTGAGTAGGCGCCTGAGTCTTTACGAGACTGTGCTGCATCTGTGTCAGTGGAACATTTTTATGTTTATGTAAAGTAGGTCACTTTTCTCTTCATTTAACTAAACAGAGTCATTTGTGTACGTTTGAACTGACAGCTTGTTGTCAAAGCTACAGCACTATTCTGCTGTGAACACATTTCGAATGCACATAATTGAATTTCTTTCAGATGAAGATTTAGAACAAATAAAATTGAATCCATGTGTCAATAATATTCCCTATTACACAGTTGGACAATAAACCCCTTTTGTGTTGACTTTCACAAAGCCCGTAGGTGCCGTGTACAAGGATTAGCTCCCCTAAATTTGATTTAATAACTGTAACACGCTTGACGGCCACGCTTGGAATCGAGCATTTGTGATAGCTGATAATGAGTCTCTCACATCACTGTGGGGGAATTTTGGCTCACTCGTCTTTACAGAATTGTTTTTAATTCAGCCACATTGGAGGGTTTTTCAGTATGAACTTCTCATTCAAAGCTGAAAAATTGAGTTTTTTCTCATAGGGCAGAAAAACCGTTTTGTATCTTGCATCTTTACTCCCGTGATTACGGCTGGAAGCACGGGTTCTGTTTCTTGAATGCGCGCCTCTAGCTGGCCAACGGAGCTAAAACACATTGCTTTGCGATTGTTATTCTCACATATATCAAATATACACAGCACAAAGTGAGAATAACAATCGAGAAAAGTTGTATATATAATGTTTTTAAAGACTTATTTGTACATACGATTGGTTGCTAACTCTGCATCCGTCCTTACTTCTGCAAATCTCCATGTGTGCTTTGTGATTGACAGTTGTACGTAAGGGGCTGCTATATATACTGCGTAAGGCTACAGGATGGGGGGTGGGCTTAGCAAAAAAAAAAGTGTTGTCTGCATTATATCTTATACCTTATACAAATAAACATGTCATTCTTGAAAGAGTGAAAAGGCCGGGTGTGCTTCAGATCATTGTCCTACTGCACAACCCAAGTGTTCTTGAGCATTGAGGGGACAAACTGATGGCCGGACTTTCTCCTGCAGCATTTTCTGTGCAGAATTCATGTTTTAGTCAGTTAGAGGTTTATCCAGGTCCAGAAAGAGCATCACAGCCACAGACCATCACACTACCATCACTGTGTTTTATTGTTGGCAGGATGCTCGGGGCAGCAGAGTATTCTGCTGTTGTGTCCTTGGGCAAGACACTTCATCTGACTTGCCTTGTGGTCAGAGGGCCTGGTGGCTCAAATGGCAGCCTTGCCTCTGTCAGACTGCCCCAGAGTGGCTGTGGCTACATGGTAGCTCACCATCACCAGCAGTGTGTGAATGTGCGAGCTTGTGAATAATGGAAACTGCTTTGAGTGCCTTGAAAAGGGCTGTATAAATCTAACCCATCGTTACTGTTACGCCACAAGATGATGCTTTTTGTCTTGTCAGTCTATAAAATGGTTTCCCCAAAGTCTTGGAGGGGAAACAAGAATTTTTTTGGCGAAAGTGTGTCGGACCTTTGTGTTGGTTTTTGTTTTTAGCTTGAACCAAACAAAATTCAATTAAATTAAATTCAAAGATACTTTATTAATCCCAGAGGGAAATTAGAGTTTCAGTACACACAATTCTGAGATCAGACATACATAGGCAAAAACACATGTCAAGAATTGGTGATTGTGGTCATTTGCAACCTGAGTTGCGCTACCTTAATAGAGATCAGAGGGTTTACATGAGGACTGGGTCAGGTGGAGGGAAAAAAGGCTCTTCAGAGTTACCCTCCACAGGGAGGGCAGCTTTGCTATGCAAAAAACACCTCAGACAGAAATGCAACATATTTCAGACATTACACAACATAAGTGCCCACTAGGTGGGGCGGTAGGGTTTGGGACTCTCCACACATCAGTGCATGCAGCCACGATAAGCAGCGCTCATCACTTCAGTCTGGACAGGGGGAGGAGGTCGTTGGGTTTAGATGGCACAGTGACTCCTGGAACGATTCGGCGGCCTTCACAGCTCACAGTCCCACCCAGGCTGGGATAGGGAGACGGAGTCGCCATGGCGACGACAGCATTCCACATTTCTTCTGAGGGGGGGGTATTCGTTTCAGCTTCACAGGCTCAAGGGCACCAGCTTCAGATAAGAACTTGTTTTGGGGCAAGACAGAGATAATTTCTTCTCTGTCTTAAAGTTCCGTTGGTCCTCAACCTCACAAAACCCAATAATGGCGTAATTAATCTATCCCAATCTGTGCTGATTCGTCCACTCGCTCCTTGATCGCATCCATCTTTTGTGCCAATGCACGAATCTCAGCCAAAATTCCAAGCTTAAAACTCATCTCGACAATAATATGAGTCTGTGCATTCACAGCGCGGTGTAATCCATCCCTGAGCTCCAGGAAAGAGCCAATATTCCTCGACAGCTCGTTAATTTTCCGGTAAGCCAGGTAACCACCCAGGCCAAAAAGCAGGAAACATGACACCAACACCACGAATATCCATACGTCTTCAGAAGCAGGGCTGTGGTGCTTTAGATGTTTTGTTCTTTCTTTAGTTCTTGAAATTCTTTAGAATAGGACATACTGTTTGTTGCTTTTTGAGCGTTTGAGCACCCATCACCATGTCAGACAGGTTCTGTGGAAGTTCTTTTTAAACTCTTGAGGTTTGATGGTGTTCAATTAACTTTCATGCATGAATTATGAAATCTTTAACCATGATTTTTTTTAAAATTTCATTTACTTTTACATATGAATGAAACAAATTTCAACCTAAATTTTTTTTTGCAATATTTAATTTACAAATAATTTGATACTTGTCCACCTCAGTGGACAGCGTGTGTTCTGAACATGAAATATGTTGACTTGACTTACAAAAGTCCAATGGGGGGACTCAAATGCAGTAAAGTCTGCAACAGCTGTGCTTAATAGCAAAAAATAAATAAATAAAATAAAAATTCTGAGAAGCTGTCCACTGTAGTGACCATAATGCATGAAAGTGACGTGGTTTGGGGAATGTGTTTAACCCAAGACATGCAGAATCACACACTCACAGATCTTATGGTAAAAAAGAATCTTTATTTTAAAAACGGGAACTGAAGGTGCACTGGAAAAGCCCAGTGGAGATTGAGAACGGGAGCGCAGCATCTGAGGAGGGGAGAGCAGATACAGGTGAGTCCAGGAAGGTAAGTCTAAACCTGGTGGGTGCAGAGAATAGACTTACTGGGAGTAGGGGAACGTAGGAATGAGGGAGGGTAGGTTGGGTGCCAGGGTGAATCCAAGTGGGGTGTCCAGGAGAGGGAGCGAGAGGAGAGCAGGAGAGTGGGCCGGCCAGGATGAATGGAGAACGGTGAGAGCTGCGTCCGGAAATCCTATGGGGCACAGGTGAGTAATTCTGAGGAGTCGCAGAAATCCAAAGACATCCACTTCAAGTGTAAACTGGCGTTGGGGATCAGGTCGGTGGAGCACAGGGGCGTTTGTAAACCTCCTCTTTAGTGTCTGGAAAGCAGCCTCGGCT